GTACTGTCGGAAAGTAAAATCAGGACCCTCTTTCGGCATCGACTTACTTTCTTAATGAAGGGGATGCCGCTTACTCTTCCCCAAAACACTATCGATCTCAGCCCTGTCTTTCCTTGGCACCCCAGCGTCTTAAGCGCTAAACCCTGAAGCCCAAGGCGCTGCCGGCGTCGAAAAGATCCTGAAGGAGGAAATGTATGGGAGGGGTGCAAGGTTCAGTGATCACATAGGCATTTGTGATCTAACTCTCGGCTTCATGTATGGGTAGTTGGGTCCCCTTTTAGGGTCCCCAATCTGGAAAATTACCCATATATGACACTTATCGAAGCCCTTACAGGTCCCTTTCTTTAAGGAACCCCCAAAAAAGGACTCCAATTAAAGGAAACCCCACCAAAAAAAACAACTCCAATTAAAGGACCCCCCCCAGAAAGGTCTCCAATTTGGTTTCATATCCCCATATATGACACTTATATATAGAAACCATTATAGGATCTAGGATCTTATCGGTCCCTTACGGAACCCCCAAAAGGACTCCAAGTTGGTTTCATATGTCATACAAGTATAGAAACCCTTATAGGTACCTTTAAGGAACCCCCAAAGAAGTCTCCAATTAAAGGACCCCCCCCCCCTCCAAATAAGAAAAAGGATTCCCCCCAAATAAGACTCCCCAAGTTGGTTTCATATCTTGCGCTGCCGCCTCCAAGAGCTGCGCGCCGGCTTTGGGCCTCACTTTGAGCAGTTCTGTTGGTTCCTTTAAGGATCCTTTAAGGGATCCTTGAAGGGGTCCTTTAAGGGTTCCTTTAGGCCCAAAGGGTCCTATGTACTGTTACGGGGAATACTTCCCCATATCATCATAGTAGTTCCTAATATAGAAACCCTACATTCTACATATCGGTACTTTGGACCCTTTGGGAAGGGAACCTTTAAGGGGTCCTTCAACGGGTCCTTTCAGGGTTCCTTTAAGACCTACTTGTCGGATATCATGGGGAACTAAAGGGTAAGCTTTTTGGTTATTTTGGGATTATATAGGGACCCGGGTATGGCGTTCTCTGGGACATGGACCCCGCGATAACACTTCTTAAGAACCTTGTATATAAACGCCTCATGTTTACAAAGCAGAAACCGCATTAACTCCTTGAGTTGAGAGGTCTTCGTTTCGGGTTCGGGATTTAGGGTTTAGGGGCTCCGGGATTTAGGGGTTAAGGTGTTTGTGCTGCAGTGAAATGCCGCATCATGCCTCCTTGCAGGGCCCACGCAGTGAAGTGAAGAAGATACTTCGGGTTTAGAGTCTTACCAAAGGGTCCAAGTATCATTATGGTAGATATTTATAGGATATTTTTGGGATCTAAGTACATACCATAATGATACTTGGACCCTTTCGGTTAGCCCCTGAGACCTCATAAGTCCATTTAGAGCTCGCAGAAAGCCGGGGGAGCCGTGCCCGCAAGGTAGGGGGTTCAGGCTTGGGGTTCAAGACGATGGCCCCACAATAGGGGCCCGAACAATTAGAACTGGGGTTCCTTAAAAGGGGTCTATAAGGGCTACTATAAGGGATCTATAAAGGTACTAGACTATAGTGCCCTTAATAATTAGAATAGGGCTTTGGGGCCCATTATACTGCACTTATACAACGGAACCCGCCAAATAGTATTGGTAAGCATTTACCCAACCTTAAACCCCCACACAAGACAACATTCCGAAGCCAGGGCACCGTTAAAGCCACCCTCAAATCAGTCCATATAGCAGCCTCTCTAACCTACAAATGCAGGACCCAATATAATCAGACTATATCTGAGTATCCTAGTACCCTAGCCCAGAAAGGTTAACCTTCTCAATTATGGTAGAAGTATATGAATCCCAAAAGGTTGAAGGTTACCTACTCTGCTACTAAGGAAATATTTCTATCAGACACAATCATACCCCTAAACCCTAAACCCTAAACTCTATACAGGGACTACCTTCCTAACAACCCCCAGGAGACCCTGGAGCCCCAAGGCACAAAGACAGGGCCGGCCTCATAAAGCACGAAACCACCGGACGCTTCTTACCCTTGGAGGATTCCTTAAAGGAGCCTGGACCCCTGGCCCTTGGAAGAGAAACCCCAAACCCCAAAAAAACCCTAATGTAGGAATCTTATTAAGAAACCCTGGCCCTATAATCCCCAATGTATATATATATATGTACATATATATATATATATATACATACATACACAAGGGTTCATATATAAGGAAGCCTAATAAAGGCCCATGGTTGCTTAGTGCGGTTCCTACATTTAACCCTGCAAGGAACACACTTAATAAACAACTTCGTGGCGAGGTGCATTTCATCTTCCCAGGCTGTTTTCGAATTCCTGGACATGGCTTGGACTGGGGCCTAAGGGCCGGTTTAGGGTTAGGGTTTGCGTAGGCCTAAGGGCCTAATATGCGGGGGCCTTCTGAATAGACTGCAAGGTATAGGGCAGTCCCTTATGGACTTTGGGGCGTTTCAGAGCTTAGTTGTTGAGTTCATAAGCCCCCCCCCCCCAAAGTGTACACTTTTAGTTGTATAGTGGGTCATATTATCGCAAAAAGTGTAAAGTGTATCCACTCAGCTACTAAGTAAGGGCTAATATGCGGGCCTTATGAAAAGAGTTGTTTCTTGGGGCAAAGAATAGCATACTCCAGCATACCCGTGCCGTTGTTCCTAGGCGACGTAATGCTTGGAAGAGGACTTGAAGGTATCGTACTGTATCCATATAGGCACCACAGGGAGGTAGTCTTACTAATTGTTCCGACCCCTTTAGTATTCTTCACTTTGAGTAGAGAACCTCATGACAAAACAAACATAGCATAAGGCTACTACAGGAGAACCGGGGTACTGATTGAAACTCTTATGTGAGCGTAGTTTCAAGCTTAAGGGTTTAGGTATTATGGAATCCTTTCCTACCTCTCAATCCTTAAGACGTCAAGGACTGTCTATCAGAGCTTCTGTAACCGTCTTTGAAGGCTTGTTGAAGGGCTCTTTGAAGGGTTGGTTCCAGAAAGGTGACTGCAATTGCATGATAACAGGTCATTTAATGTCTCGAAAACAAGGAGCTGTAAGACCCCCAAGTCTATTAAGCTTACTTCGGGTGCGTCCTGCTCAACCCCTTGAACGCCCTAAACCCGCAACCCAAAATCCCAGAGCCTGAACCCTCAACCCTAAATTAAACGCCTTGAGCCCCAACAAACCCTAAACCCAGATACCCAAACCCTAAAGTAAAAGCCAGAAAGTTGGAATATGATTATCCTAAACCCTTTATGGTAAATTATAGGGTATCCTACCCTGAAACCGTATTCCAACTTTCTGGAGTTCCCTTTAAATCCTAAACCCTGAGACCGGAACCCTAAACCCTAACCTGGACCCCACAACTACCTTTTGTTGTAGCCCCCTAATTACCTCTTTATGAGAAATACTCGAGCCCTTCAAAGGGTACTTGGGGGGTCCTGGAAGACCTGAACCCTATACCCTATACCCTAGACCCTAAACTCCTAAAACCTAATCCCAAAACGCAATTCCCGGACCTTCCTGATCCTGGTGCTCCCTCGGGATGACTTCTAAAGAGTACTACAGGGGCCTGCTTTCTAATTCAAACAGAGTTAGCCTAATACCCTGGTTCTCTAAATCAGTGCCCCTTTTCTTTCGGATCACCAGAATCAGGCATCACTCTTCTGTACCCTAAACCCGAAACCCTAGACCTTAACCGCTATAAGGACCCCTCACACACCGAGGCGCCCCCTTGGCAGACGTTTGCCGATTGCAGGCTTTGGCATGGCACAAGGATTTAGCCACCTAGACGAATGCCACGATACCTTGAACCCGAACCCTAAACCTTAATATTTAGAATAATGTTTTTTGAGGGTTCCTTCTTAATATTAAAGTACAATATCCGAAAAAAAAAAAATATATATATATATATATATATATATGCACACCTCCTAAAACTCTGAGCCCGAAGCCTTAAGCTTTAATCCCTACTGCGTTGGGGGTCTCCTAACCGGGAGCTTTCGTTTTTCGGATTTCTCTTTCTGAAGGGTGTCAGGATTGATTGGGCCTTTCGTTTTCCGGGAGTAAGAACGAGAGCTTGGTACGAAAGACCATGTGCTGAACACCCGTATAGCAGTAGCCCTCATAGCAACCCTAATAAGACCCGTTTAAAGGAACCCTATTCTAATTATTAGAGAGAACACCGAACGACCCCGCTTTCCAAAGAGGCTCCGGGGAGGGACCGCGATCGCTGGAGCAGCGCTTGAGCAGAGTACACGGCAGACGACTGCTTCTTGTGACTTAAAACTCTAGACCCTGGGCCCTAAAAACCTTAAAGCCTACCTGTAGCCGAAAAGACCTACCTTTTTAAGGACCTGTATATAGAAACCATAATAAGGAACCCTAAAAAAGGTAGGTCTATTTCGGCTACAGGTAAACCCTAAAAAGTCCTAAGCCCAACCCGGAACCCCTAGACCCTGGTGAAACCCCCATGAGGCCAGCAAAACGCACAACCCGAAAGCCTCAAACCAAGCCGATAAATCCCGAGCTCCCGAGAAGATGAGGCCCCCATGGGCCCGAGCTTAGGTACGTACGCTATTATTTCAGGCTATACTATACTCCTGATTCCAACAGACCCGAAATCCTGAGTCTTAAAGCCCTGGCCGTTAAAACCTAAATCTTAAAACCTTCAACCCGAAATCCCAATCCCTGAACCCTAAATTAGATCCCGAACCGTGCGCCCTCTCACTCCTAGACCCTGAATCCTGGCATCCTAAATCCTCAACTCCAACAGCCCGCCCGAAAGTCTTAGAAAGCCAGCAAACCGCGCCCCTTGTAAACCTGCAGCCCTGGCCACCACCACAGGGGGGTAGACAAGCCCTGCATAAAAGCCCTAAGCCCTACGCCCTAAACGAATGAGGGTAAATATTGGAGTTTCCGAACATAGGGCCCTAATTTTCGGAAACTCCCATATTCAGCCTGTCTGAGAGTCGGGCCACCTCCCTTGCCGTCATCTTCCTCACGGGCTGGTACTACAGAAGCCTTAATAACTAGAATCGTGTGTTGGCACATATCCAGTACCCTTAGAATGCTAGGTACTTAGACAGACCCCTAATTTTCCCCCCCCCAATCCGCAACGATGAAGCATGTGCTGTCAATACGATCGCAAGCTTCAAGGGCTTCGTCGAGGAGTCGGCCTTTGTTCCCGGCTGACTACAGTCACATTGGCATTGGACCAATCGCACCGGATTGGCTACAGAGTACTGGGCCGAGTCCTTCATTTCCTGGAGGGAGCCCGTCTCGGTGGCTAATCATCCAGATCAGCTATCGTCCACATCCTTGCCCTCCTCCACCATACTTGCCTTCCACCCCATCCCGCCTGAGCCCTTGGGGCGTTAGGCTTGTAGCCTCAGCCTCAAAGCAGGGCGACATTTTCAGCTTACCTCTCTCCGACTTTCCTCTTATACGCCCTTGAGGCAGGGAGATGATTTTGCGCTTCATGTAAACCTAAACTCCCCCCCCCCCCGGCCTGCCGGAAATTTTCAGGACATCACTGAAGGACCAAATGACCCTTAAAAGTAGGGGCCCTATACCCATATACTATGAATCGCTATATGGTAGAACCTTAAACCCTTCTAGGTTTCATTTCGTCCGTAAGGTCCTGAGCACTAAGCCAGTCTTCGCCTTGAGGAAGCACGACAACTGCACCCATCGTTGTTGGTGGATATTTCTAAAACTTGTCCCACATCGATATCGAGTTTGGAGTCCGACAGAGAGCGCAACTTGCAGTGTAGAGGTCTAGTCTTTAGGGCTTCGGATTTCAAGGTCTCAGGGTCTTATTCTTTGGGTTTTAGGAGCTGTGGGGTTTAGGGCTTTAATGGTCATGAATTGTGGGGGTTTTAGGGTTGGGAGGTTTAATCGCTTAACAATCAGAACAGGGTTTTGGCGTATATCATGCCATATAGTTCTCATAAGGAGCCCTAACATCATATTGGCAAGTATTTCAAGCCCCTTCCCTTCATGAGACCTCGAAACGAGCACGAAGAGGGGACTCGGGTCAGGGGCCTTTTCCGGGTTCGGATCCGGATTCTAGAAGCTAGTTCATGGCTGGGACAGTAGTCGCAATTTTAGATTCAACTCTTTGTTGGGGTTAAGTACCAGTAATGATGTTAATGCTTTCCCAACTATGGCAAAGTAAGGTCCTGTGAAGGTTCTTTGAGTTCAGGCGAGTACCCGAGACGGGTTAAATCTGGGCTCTTTAGACGGTACCTGAACCATGGGGTTCTATTAGGTTTTGAGCTGAACACACATAGCAGGACGCCTTGGAATAAGCTTAACAAAAACCTTCAACAGAACCCGAGTTGTTAAGGATATAAACAGAATCACTAAATCCTTGTGAAATAGGAGCCTTACTGATTAGAATATAGGTATATTAAGGAACCCCCCACCAATCCTGTTAGTACTTATTTAGGCCCCCATTAGTCGACCTCAACCGGGGACGCAGAATCCGCGTTTTGCCCCAACAAGACCCGTCTGCAAATGAAGGCGCCTGCTGGAGTTTCGCCATGACGCTCTGTCCTTCGGGAAAAGTCTTATATGGGGGTTTCCGAAAATAGGGGGCCCCTATTTCGTACCCCAAATAGTAGGATCCTTATCGCTCATAAGGACCCTAAAATACGGCACCCCGAATTTTCCGAAACCCCCACATAGGCTTTCATGCTTAAAGTAAAGCTGTAAATTATGGGTTTAAAGGGCTTCTCACAGGCTACTCTTTTACCTGCTCTTACTCCTAGTCCTTCTACTACTCCTCCTACTCCTATTGCTGCCAACTACTGCCAACCACTACCGCTACATTAGTACAGCTACAACTACCACTACGACAACTACAGCTTGAATCCCCTAACTTAACACAGGAAGCCAAAAGAGTTAGGGCAGCTTTCTTTTCATCTCTCCAACACGGGTTGCTTCAAGGGCAAGAAAAGTTCTATGATATGGTGGCCGCAAAGTTTAGAATAGGGCTTCGGGGTTAGTATAATAATGCACCCTCAGGAAAAACATCCGAATTATTCAGGCTTCTGTATTCGCCTTGAACAACAAGCTCAATGCTGCACCCTCTTACCCGGACGGTTTTGTTCCAATTCACATCTCCGGGATGAAAGTCTGAAGTGAGTTGCAGAGATCTCGCACAGCATGCAAGCGGTCGGAGTTCGCTCTGGGAAGTCGGGGTGGATGCACACGATGAGAACAACACCACTAGACGACATCTTGAAATCCCTCTAAGCCCGAAACACAAAGCCCTTAACCCTAACCCGGCAACCCTCAGGGACTTCAGGGCACTTGAAGGTTTAGGACCTGTTGAAGCCTGTTTTTGGCATGTCTGGCCTCGCTTTCCTGCTGAGAGCCGGGCTCCAGTTCTCTTTGCTCAGCTCATCGTAGAAGGTGATGTTGATGCCTCGCAAGAGGGGGTTTAGGGCTTAGAGCTGTAGAGGCCTCGCCAATTCAAACAAGGTTTTGGGGTACATGATGTTGATTCCTCTGCATTGGGTACTTCCCCCACGCTGCAGTCCATGTTAGGTGTTATACTTAAGAACTATCAAGCTCTGTACATACGTATATTAAAAGAACTAACGGTTGCATTGTTGGGACAATACCCAACCCCCCTGCAGAAGCTCAGGGGGTAGTACTTGGAGTAAACTTGAGCCTAAACCCTAATAACCCATAAACCCCAAAGCCCCCCTAAACCCCCAAACCCTAAACGCAAAGCCCCTAAACCCCAAACCCCCTAAACCCCGAACCCCTAAACCCCAAAAATTCAAGACCCGAGAGCTCCCTCAAAGGACAAAAACCTCATCGTCACAGCCCTTGGAGGGCTCGGGGAGGGGATAGGGTTTCGGGGTTTAGGGCTTTAGTTTTTGGCATTGGGCGGTGGGCCCTTTTCCAACTGCATGACAGGTAGAAGTCTCCTTAGCAGGATGAGCCTGTTTGTTGGGACCTTTGCAAGGGTTTAGGGTTTAGGATTCAGGGTTTAGGGATTAGGGGTTTAGGGTGCAGGGTCTAGAGTTTAGGGAATAGGGTTGAGGGAGTAAGGGTTTAATAGGAGGGTGATGATGAGGCAAGCTCGAATTAGGATACTTCTAAAGCCAACTCGACAAGGATCATAGTGCTTGACAGCTGCAGAAAGGGGGCACAGTTACTAATCAAAAGTGATACTTCGGAGCCCATTGTAGAGCCTTGTTAATTAGGGGTACCGTATCCATGTGGCTGGCGGATCACGAACCCCGGATAGTCTGTGGATACTAGTCACTATACAGGACCCTTATGAAGCACCCCTTGTGACGAGAGACAGAATCCCTGACGAACCTAGTAAAATTCAAGATCTTCCATAACCCCCGAGTTAAGGGACATACCCCAAACCAAAACAGGGATCCCCAATATGGTTTGAAGTAGATTCCTTAAATCAGGGTTATATTTACCTTAAATCTTCTCAGGGATCCGATCATAATCCAGGGTGTATTCCTTAATTACGGGATATTGGATGAGCTGGGCCCTTTTTTTTGTAACCCAACAAGCTTTCAGAAACAAGCCTTCCAGGTCCGTGAACTTCATCTCTACCCGCGGCCGGGTGTCCTGGCTCGATTTTTGGGTTGCAGGGCTCTAACGTGTTTAGGGTCCCGGTCATAGGGCGTTTGGGGGAACCATGAGAGGCTTGGGCGGCTTCTCGGACTGCAAGAAAGTTGCATCGCGACCTCAATTGAATTTTGCAACTTAGTAAGGCCCCCTAAATAATTACCTCGACTCTCCGTATAGTCTAATGGGACCCGTCGAGGCCAGGGCCAAAGAGGAACATATTCCAATAAACCGCGAGCCGTTAAGCCTATAGAACCCCACGTCCCCCTGCATGAGGCAGGAACCTGATTAAGAGACCCTGGGCCTATGACCCCAATAGTAAGGCTCATCTAAGGAACCCTAACAAAGGCCCAAGGTTTCTTAATCAGGCCCCTACAGTCTGCTTCAAGATCCCGTAAGTGGCTCTAAAGCTCAGGACTTTGGGCGGCTCCTTTGTGAAAGGGGTCCTTATAGGGCCTACCATAAGGAATACTAATAAGGGTACTATAATGTAGGGGCCTTAGTCATTAGCATAGGGGTTTGGGGGTATTTATACTATAAATAGAATAAGGAACCACCAAAAAAGTATGGGTAATTATGTATGCCCCTACATTACCCTACCATCATCTGGGTTAAGCTAACCTTATTTCAGGGTTCTACTTCTCGGATCCTGCCGGGTGTGAGGGTCGTTTTAGTTTCCTAGACCCTAAAACTTAATCCCTAAAGCGTGCCTGTCTGGGTCGTTTTAGTTTCCTAGACCCTAAAACTTAATCCCTAAAGTGCAACCCCCCCTGCCGGTCCGGGAAGAATGCCACAGTGTCCAGCTGTGCCAGAGGTCGCACCTACGAAAGCGAAAATGTTTATTACAGGGGCATCAACACACATAACTTGCTGGAATGGTGGCCCTTCAAAAGGGGGTCTACAAGAAATACGAGAGGGACTGTACGATCTAGGGCCTCAACATCTAGTCTAGAGCCGAGTTTGGATTGGGGCAGACTATATGTGGTAAGGCCGACATACATAAATGCACATATATATATATATGCTCATATATGTATATGAACCTGAAGTAACAATGTACATAGGTAGATATGACAGGTAGACAAATAGATAGGTAGATAGATAGATAAACAAATGGACAAATATATTAATAGATCAACAGATAAACAGAGAGATAGATAGATATATAGGTAAATAAAACAGCTAGACAGACAGGCAGGCAGACATACGGCCGGAGGGATAGACAGATACATCGATAGCTGGATAGATACATACCTGTAGAAGACTAGGAAGACGGTGGATAGACAATTCGGGGCTCTACGTAGTTGCTACTATCACCAAGCACTCCGACCTAATTCATCCGAAGGACAGGTACTGGAGCTGAAGTGTTTCAAGACGTCTTACGGAGTGGCGGAGTGCCGGGAAGCTCGTATTAAATATTATTACGTAGCCTGAGCAGCAGTGTATCTTATCATACCTTAGGGCCTGAGAATCCTAGCCGAAAAAAGGTTTACCCTCTCAATTATGGTAGGGTAAAAGAAGACCAAAAAAAATGACGGTTACCTACTCAGCTACTCAGATACTACTTTATGTGCCGTAGGAGTGCCCCGTGGGTCATGTTTGTTGGGATTCTATGGGGGAATGGGGTCGTGTGTTCGACGAAACAACGAATAGGTCAAACTGTTGTCCTACCGCAGTATCACCGGTTTCTGCAGTCTGTAGAATTTAGGCTACAGAACCCTAAGCCCTAAACTCTACGTTTCCCCCGAAACTTTAACCAACAAAAACTGGTAGAAGGTTGGTTGTAGGTCGGGGGGCTGTTGCGTGGTCTGCACCCCTCGAAGGTGCAACGAAGCAGCGTGACTGAAGCTGCTTGAGACACTGGTTTTTCTCTTTCGTGAGCTTGCCACAGAGAGTTCGCAAGGTGACTTAACCGTGCCATCGTCCAGCTCTAATGCCTAGAATCCCTACCCAAAGACCCTATCGAAATTATTACGGCCTCTATAGTATAGTGCCCTTCTAAATCCCTTATGGTAGCCCCTATAAGGACCCCTCTGAAGGGAACCCCTACGCTAATTATTACGGCCCCTATAGTCATCTATGGCTCATCCCCTGCTCGTCTTCGCATACGCTGATTGCCTTGTCATCAGATGTTGGCACAGCATCGGGTGTTGGGTTTAGGGTTTAGGGATGACATCGCCATAACTTACCACAACCCCTGCCTGATGATGCCATTGCGCACAATCTCTGAAGAACCGCGAAGCTCGAACCCGAACGGCTGTACAAGGCTTCAGAAGCCACTTGAAACTGAACTTGCCAGCTGTCTATAGTTGCTCAGGGGCTTGCAAAGCGCCTGGCGCATCAGCACAGCCAGACGGGAGCTGGAGGAGCAAGCTGCCACCACGTCCTTGAGGAACAACTTCAACCCACTGGGCCATGCTTCTGATGACTCCGCACATAGATGGCGCCCAGGATCCGTTGCCAATCTGTCAGGACCTGTGCGTTCAGCCCGGTCTGGTTGTCAAAGAGTTCGGGCTGCAAACGCTGAACTCTCGGTGGTCCGGGAGCGCTGCACAAACAAACAGGGCAACCGAGTAGGACCCTGGTTTCTTGAAGATGGAGAAGGCCACGATGTAGGAAGAAACCCAAATCTAAAGCTTAAAGCACAAACAACCCTAGACAACAGCTATAGTAACAGATGCTCGTTGACCAATAGTAAGAACACGAATTTTTGTCGAAGAAGGTAGAACGAAAGACATACAGAAATCTGAAAGCTAATTTTAGAATGCCTGCGGGGCACAGACCCCGCAAACACCCAGACCAATTTTTTAACCCTAACATCAGGCGGGGCTGCTCGACACACTTAAGTTGCGCCTGTCCCATCATCCGTGTCGACCGAAATGCTCCTTCAAGGACCAAGCCTACCAAAAACATGCATAGAAATATCCTCCTGAAAGAGTCTGTCAAGAACCTATATCAACCGGAACTCTACAACATTTGCAATCAAAACAACCCCAAACCCCAAATCCTATAGAACCTTAAACCCTACCTCTCAACCCCTAAACCCCAATCCCCAACCCTAAACCCCAAACAAAAAAGACTGAACTACCCTTATGGAAACCCTAACAGACCCGCTTAATGAACCCTAAAAACGGACCCTAATCAGGAGAACTACCCATCAACTACCCAAACACAAACAACCAGAATTAAATTGCCAAATTACCTACCATTTTAAGGACTGCCTAAAACCCTAAAAGCATAGGTTTCTTGGGGTTCAAGTAAACCCGAAACAAAAAACAGACTCAAACCCTGAACCCTTTTCTAGAACCCTTGAGGATCCCTTTAAAGGAACCACAACACAACCTCAATTGCCAGGCCTCTCCGGCTCGAGTCAGTAGGCCTTGTTTCGCCTGCGCAGAGCTCTGCGTCGGGCTCGGGCGGTGTCGCTTGTATGAGAGAATTTGTAGATAGAAATATTATATACATTTATACAGATATATATATATATATGTGTATGGAAAGAGAAAGGTTCCATAAGGATTTGTGCTTTGCTTTTTCGCTTCAAGGTTGCATTTTTTGAGGTGGCCTACGTTGGATTTGGAATTTTGGGGTTCAAGGATCGGGGATTTCAGGGTTTGGGGCTTCGAAATTTTACACAACCCGATTCTTTTTGTTGAGGGGGGGAGGCGGTTGTGGCATTTGGAGGTCTCTGACTTGGGGTTTACAAGGTTGGGCCTCGACTGGGGGGTTTCAGGGTGTATGCGTACGGTTGATGATATAAATCCTGCATGACCTTCGTGACCCTAGACTATGGGAATCATAGTATTAGTATTGCTTTTTGCGGGTAGTAGGGTAATGCAGGATTTATATCATCAACCGTATCATGAGCAGTCTCACCATCATTCATAATCCAAGCAACGAGGTTCCAAAGGGTCCAATTACCAGTATAGTAGATACTTCGTAGCCTAAAGCATATACTATACGGTTACTTGGACCCTTTGGAGGTTCAGGGTCTGGTGTGGAGGGATTTTGGTTTGGGGCCTACACTTTTGTTTCTTTTCAGCTGAAACCCTAGGGCTGAGGCTGAGTGTTGATACGAGGACGTTGGTGTGTCGGCGGCGTATGGGGTCGACCTGGTCGGTAGCTTATAGGTAGGCCTTGGGATTTTATGGATGAGGCGCCTAGAGCCGGAAAACACAGGCCCGAAACTGTTAATTTTGCACCATTCTTGTAACTCGCTAAACTCATGGATCAAACCTCCACACCTCCTGTCACTCCAAGCTTGGAGCCCGTGCTTAACGACCCGACTTTCCGTTAGAGCCATAATACAAGAGCATTAAGACAACCCGAAAAGGACAACACCGAACAATGTACCCAAAGTGGCAAACCTATTGTAGCAGTCTACAGTGATCCCACGCCCAAAAGCCCTCAGCCCTAAAGACCACAAGGTCTGCAAGCCCTTTCCAAACTCTGGTCATCGTGAACCCTAGTCTACAGAACTCCCAAAACCTTAACTCTAGAAACCCTGAGCCATGCAAGACTCTGAAGTCTACAGTTTAATAGCTGCAATATGATTGACAATGCTCGAGCGAGGGCCAAGCGACAACATGCGACTGTGCTTGGGCTTCAGACGCGACTGATTACGAAGGGTAGTTTGGTTGTACAAGATTTCTTGGTTCCAGGGTTCGGGCTGGACTTTGCGCTAAACTACACTGACTACACCCGAAACCCTAATCCCCTGAACCCTAAACCGTGACGAGTTTATGGAATGCGCAGTAGCGCATTGGGCTGGATCATAGGACTTAGTAACTAAGGTTGCACGTACAAATAATCATGAATATAGCTACCTTATTCATCACCTTAATTACTAAGTCCGACTAGGTCCCATGATCCTCTAAGTAGGCCACCATGGGTACCCACAGGCTCCCTGGGATCAGGAGGGCAAGGACTGGGCAAACAAAACTCAGCAAAGTGCCAGAGGCTGCAGCTGGAGGCCATTCTGGCAGAATCAGCTCAAGCATCATCTGTCCCTCACGGAGGCACGACGAGTAGAAGGAGCGTCAGGTGGTGCAACAACCGTACTTGCGCCCTCACTGACCCTGCGGACCGTTGTTCCCTGCACGGAGCATCCGGGTGTGAGCCGATAAGCACGTCGCGGCTGGCTTCTTACCTGCGGAGGTTTGAAGATCGTCTGTGCGCAAGTTTACTAGAAACGAGGCTTGCATCATAGCAACCACTAGCAGTGCATTCTCTTGGCAGCTTCTGTGGATAGTGTGCGCAATGCTTGATCCCTTCCTCTCTCACAACGTGGTGTGCGCAAACAACAACCCGGTGCCTAACGGGGAATGGGGGAATGGATCCCTGTTGTAGTCCCTATATAATCCCCAAAAATAGTCTCCACAATCCGTTCCCCCATTCCCTAGTAAGAACCAGACAGTATTCCTTAATTAATGAATATACCCTTAAATCACTTTAAGGATCCTACTATGATTTATTGGTATCCTCCTTTGTCAAGGGATATTGGAGTCTCTGGGCACAAGTGCTGTCTACCGGCGAGCCCCGGCTGAGATTGGCATATACTCTTCTAAAGCCCTACGCAGAAACTCCAATATCCCTTAATTTAGAAATATTCCTCAAATATAGTAGGTTCCCTGATATGATTTGAGTAAATTCCCTAACTAAGGGATATTGGAGTCTCTGGGTACTTCCCGATGGTTATGGCGCAGAATTGGACCCTGAATATCCCCTAAAGCCAAAACCACCCCACAACTGTGAACTCCAAGCTTTAACGCGACACTCCAAGCACTCAGCCCTCAGCAGAGATCGAAGTCGCAGTTTTTGACCCAGGGCTTACTCCTCTTCAATTCAATACGGGCACAAACAATTGAAAAGCCCGGAAAACCAGCCCGCACTGAACATGGTCCCTACCCCGCACCCCCCACCATAAGTAAGTTCCCCAGTAGCCCCTCAATAATAAGGGTGCCCATGTTCCTACTGTTTGGTTTTAGTCAGGGAACCCGAAACGAAAAAAGGGCAACAGGGTATTGCTGGGGAACCTAGTCACCAAGGGCATTCTCCGTCATAAGCATCGCAGCCGCTGTGCCAGCGCCAGAACTCACGACGGCAACCCTCCCCGCCCTTTGTATAAGCACGTGCGAATGTGAAGGTGCTTGTCGCACTTTCAATACCATATCTTCATGGCAAGAGTACCAGCATACAAAAGTGCTATTTATAACTCGCAGAGTACTTCTGGGGGAACAAAATGGTAGCAGCATTGCAGTAGCCGAGACTGCCAAGAAATCTGACACCATGGCCCACCCCGGGACTCAACGAGATTGTACGATTTAGCGTTTAGGCTACGGCTTAGCGTTTAAGGTTTCGGGTTTAGGAACACTAGCAATCGCTTCAAGTGTTGAGAGCTTCGGCGGCTTCTCACTTCGCCAATAAGCCGAAGAAACGAAAGGCTAGACCTTCAGATCCACTAAACAACTATAAGAACCATACAGTTTAAAGGTTCTGAACCCTAAACCCATAAGAACCATAAATTTAAAGGTTCCGAACCCGAATCCATAAGAACCCTACAGCTTAAACGTTCTGGACCCTAAACCCATAACAACCATAAAGTCTAAAGGTTCTGAACCCTAAACCCTAAGAACATCTGCACGCATCTGACCTCGTCCCATAGCTCCTTCGTTGTCTCCCTGTCGGTGATGTCACCTGGTCGGCCATAGGGAGGTCAGGGAGTTTAGGGTTTAGGGAGTTTAGGGTTTAGGGTTCCAGATCCTTTCCTAATTCACAATAGGTGTACGAAGCCAGTGCTTGATATACGAGCCTTGGTAAGCAAAGACAGGCTCCTTAGATTGAATACTTAGCTTCATCAATATGTTGTCCTTAACTATTCCAATTACACTATAAATCACTATAACATAACCCAACAGCCAATTATGAAGGCCCCTGAGGACCCTTACAGGGGCCGAGTCTTAACAAGGCCCCTCTATGTATCCCTTTGCCTTTCAGCTCACGTCTGCAGTGCGTTGGGCTGCTTCCAGATTCCGGACACTGGTTGGCTCAGCCGTTAAGTTCGGAGTGGTGAACTCAAACTTGAAACGACAGATGTTCCCAGCATACACCGGGAGCAGGGATATCCTGGTTCCTACCATTGCTCACTAATCGTCCCTACTACCTCCCTCTTGAAGCACCCCACCCCAAACCCGAAACCCTGACCTAAACCCTAAACCTCAAAACCCAAACTCTAAACTAAACCCTAAAACCTAAACCCTAAACCCTAGGGGGTCCATCATTTGGCTCCCTGACAAGGGCCTGGGATGGTCTTGTAGGAACCTCAAAGCCTACACAACACTGTAACACATGGATGGCTGTCAAAATTAGGGTCCCTTCTTGGATACCCTAAATATTAGGTGCCGTATTAAATTAGGGACCCAAGAAGGAACCATAATTTTGACAACCACCCACATCGTATGTAAGCCCCAGCTCAACACCGTGAGCAACAAAGATCAAGACCTACGGAAACTTTCGAAACCCCTAAAGCCCTTCTGTCAACAAGGATACGTAAGACTTTTTAGAAACGTAATAACGCGCCCCTTATGACCCCTTAAAGCCCCTTATGTCAAGAAGGCTACGTAGATCAGTACCTTTCTAGAAACCTGATAATTCGTCCCTTATAATGTAGGAACCTGATTAGGAACCGCTGGGCCTATAACCCCAAACTAGTAGGATTCATATAAGGAACCCTAGTGACCCTAAGAAAGGACCAAGGTTTCTCAATCAGGTTCCTACGTTATTATAGAGGGCCAAGCGGCGCAGCATCTTCACATCCGTCTGGAGAGGCTTGGAGGGATCCTCTGTAGCAGACGGAAGCTGAAGAGGCACTGGGTGTCATGTAGGGGGCCCTTAATAATAAGAATAGGGCTTTGGGCTCCTTTGTAGTATAGCTATGTGTAGCTCTTGTTAGAGACCTCGAAGATACATCTATAGTTACGGGCAACTACTAGGGGGTTCTGCAGTCGGGTTTTGGATTGGTTTAGAAGGGTTTGGGGTTCGGGGTGTTGGGCTCAGGGGCGCAGGGCTTCGGGCTTTGGGGTTGGGGTTGCGAGGGCATGTTGCGAAATCTTCAAAACGCCACCCTAAACCCTAAACCCCCAAGGTTTTTCTTAGCACTCATACTCATATGCCCACCCGCGCTTTGGCCTGAATAACATGCGCTACATTAATTCGGTCCATGCGAGCTGGTTCGAGTTTGTGACTTGGCCATCAAGGACCATGGAGTAAAACTCCTTGGCCACAAACATCATTTACGGAAGAAAACACATCGAATTCCAGATATGACCTGTCCAGAAAATACACCAACCTCCATGCCTCTTAGGAAAAAACACCAGGTCCCTCGTAGACCCGCTATACAAAAACCCTAAATCTTTTTGGACCCCTTGAACCTTTTTCAGAGCCTCACAGAAAAAGCCCCATGTCCTTGCTGGGCAACAGGACCCAACCCCGAACACTAAACCAAACTAACCCCTGAGCCCTACAATCCTAATCCTTACACGCAAATCGTTGTTCCACCATTAGAACCGATGAGAAACCTCGTAGACAAACTCCCGGAGCCGGTTTAGACCGCAGAAACATTAAACCGTTGCAAAAACCCGGTAGAACCACATAATAATTGATCTTATGAAGCTCAGACGAAAACCGAAATAAGGGTTTAGAGTCCTTAGCACCTATATGGAACCCTCAAAGAAAAACCTCCGAACCCAGAACCCTGTGAACACCCCTAAGAACCCCAAGATAAAACACCCTAAATCTGCTGTAGACATTTCCTACTTGTCCAGTATCTTGAGGAACTCAAAGTTAACTTTGAGGAGTACATCCCGAGGAAGCGAGGAAGCCGGACTGGATCGCGTTCGAGTCGATGTCAGAGAGTGCCACCTGAACCCGGTGGCCCATCTGAAGGAGGGCATTGGTCACCGCCCCTGAGATCCTGAACGACAGGTCACCGGCAGCCCGTCTGGCTTCTTCACGTTGCACCTGCTGGACCGGGGTCTCATTCACCGGCACAGGTGGTGGAGGCCCAAGGGGCCGCTCCCAGATGCGGACACTACGGATGGGAGCACCATCCGGGGGAGTCTCTGCCGCGAGCCAGGCCTCATCTCCAGAATCGATCACGTCCGCCTCCGCCGCCTCACTCATCCCGAGGCATACGGGGTCTTCGGGACCCTAAAGCCCGGACCTAAATATGAGGAATACTACTCCGAAATTATTCAGGGTCACCTACTCTGCTACTACCTGTATCCCCGAACCCTACAAAACAGTAGGTCATGACCCCTTAATGACAGGTCTAACTCCTAAAACTAGAGGTTTTTGGGTACCCTATTACCAGAGGGTATCGGTCCCAAAAAAACCACCCCCATTAATTATGGTCTTTGGGACCTAATTCCATATTACCGTGGTAGTGTATATGGACCCTCTTGGTTACCCAGGTAAGAATCTTTTATAAACCTTAAGTAAAGAGACTTAAGACCCTTTAAGATCTGACGGGAGGTCTGCCTATTACAGCAGAAGCCCAAAAGTTGGAAAACCCATAGCATTATCCTTGAGAGTCATGTATACGGAATCCTAGCACTGTTTGGCCTTGATCCGGATTCCAACTTTTTGGGGCCTACCGTATAGATCCCCATTTAGACCCCTTTAAAGGAACCCTAAAATAGACCCCTTTAAAGGAACCCGGGGGTCTACAATACTAGGTATTCATCAACCCTGGCTGGCCTGACCGTTCTCGAGCTCGGCGATCTGTGGGCGCCTTGAATTTCTTTGCGATTTCTCCATCTGAGGGTTCGGTTTAGGGTCGAGGGCTTACTTACTTGTCGGGTATCATGGGGAACCTTTTTTGGTTATATAGGGATTATATAGGGACTATACTACCCCCAAAAAAGATTAAAGGTTACCTAAGGGCTCAAGCGGCCGAAACAGTTGGGGGTGTTCAAGGGTTTGTTCGATTGGGGCTTAGGGCACAAGACAGCAATTGTTCACACGGACTAAAATACAGACCTCTTTACGGAGGCCCTCTCCACGGCTGCATGTGGGCGCTTGTCAAAATTATGGTCCCTTGTTGGGTCCCTATTATAATAAACAGGGACCTTAATTTTGACAACTACCCCTTTGCACACTCATGTCTCGCTCGCATTAACCATGCTCAACCCTGAACCCCCGATCCCCCATCGCTCAACCCTAAAGCTCAGCCCGAAAGCGGAATCGTACTTCAAAGGACTCCATAAGAGGGATGGTTATCGGGATCCGAACATTAAAGCCCTTAAGGAAAGGGATCTGTGTTTCGAGAATACTGCACCCGAAACTGCAGAATTAGAGACCTCGGTCAGAGCTCACGCATAGGTCCGAGTAGGCAATTATCGGTTTATAGGGTTTAGGTGGTTTAGGGTTAATTAAGGGGTTTTAGGGTTTAGGGTTTTGGGTTTAGGGGTTCAGGCTTTTTTGCCACCCCCTCCCTTCTAAAAAAGATATCTACCTCAACCCACAGACCCAGTTGATGTAGATCCCTGATCAAGAACCCCACCCCATTTTCGCTATGGGACTCTCGTAGGGATCCTCATATATTCGGACCCTGAAACACATTGGGTTCATGCAGCAATATTCTTCGGTAGTGCAAGGACCTTGAAATCATGGTGAAGCTTAGAGTTCGAACGGCAGACCACTGAGCACTTGAGGAGAACAGGCCATGATTGAGTCTGCCCCGTGATTTTCCAGAGTATGTGAGTATGTGGATGCAGACGAGGACGTAAGGCATCGGCAGCTCTAGGAACGAATTCCTAATCCCTAAAGCCTACACCCCAAAGCACAGGCCGTTGCCTTTGCGGTTTCTGCATGCTGCAGGATGAAACATCCCGGCTTTTGCATGCCCTGCCCGAAAGTGCGAAACCTGAAACCAGAGGCCGTCGTCCCCCTTTCCCTCTTTGACACAGACCTTGCCGTAGTGCAAGTTGGTTGTAACTCACGTTTTTTGGGAACCTCCTGCAAAGGAAATATCTCTGAGGGCTAGAAGTGCGGCTGAATGAAGACATCGAACATGCGATTGGGGGTCTAGTATAGTATTTTCATGGAGGGACTATGACGCTCATCATTTTCATATCTATAATGTATGTAGGGGACGCAAAATTCGAAAGGTGTGGGGTATGTTGTACTGCATACCAGAAAGGGAACCCCACAATAATCTTACGGATCCTTCCAACTTCCCTTTTAAACTTCTATGCGCAAAAACCTTTCCTCCACATTACAACAGTATTCTTAATCCAAACATGTGACCTGTATACAGCCCGACCTAAAGCCCTGACTTGATCGTCCAGGCGGCCACTTGCTGTAGTCCACGTGGAAGTCATGCACTGCATCCTTCGCCAATTGTAGGGCCCCAAAAAAGCACATAAGCAAAAATTGGGATAGGGATATCCCATATAAACCCCCATATAATGAAGCCAATTAAAGTAGGGATATCCCTATAAATTGCTTATGCTTATGTGCCCTTTGTGTCCCTAAAATTGCCAGAACCAATCCAGGGGCGCGCAGTTTACATTTCAGTGGTGAGCGGCGGGGTGCGGTCGGCCGAAGTCATCCTAAGGTGCATGACAGTGCCTGGAGATGATGCGTTGAATACGGTTTCCTTGTATAACTCCTGAAGAAGGTAGGCTACTTGGGGTCCAGGAATGGCCTCCGACGAGGTCTCGTAGGTACCTGGTACATATTTGCATATATATATATACATATACACACATATGTATGTATATATATATATATACATACATATGTGTGTATATGTGTACACATAATCTACACACACATATTTGGGTCCGCTGTACTAATACTTGGACCCTTTCGGAGTGCCCTCCGACACCCTAGAGCCCTGGAACCTAAACTCTCAAGCCCCCGTATCCTCCGACAAGGTATACAGCAGGTACAAGAAAATACAAATACTGGAACCCTAAACCCCATGAACCCTAAACCCTGAAGCTGAAACCTTTGAACTCTCAAACCCTAGGATCCTCAAGCCCTGTGGGAATGGCCTCCGACAAGGTACACTATACTATGCACCCTGAAGCCTATGTAAGCCCTGAACCCTAAACCCTAAACCCTAAAACTTATATAAGCCCTGAACCCTAAACCCTAAACCCTAAAACTTATATAAGCCCTGAACCCTAAACCCTTAAGGAGCCCTGGCCGCCCTAAACCCTAAACCCTAAACCTTAAACCCTTAAGGACCCCTGGCCTCCGACAGGGTATAGAGCTTCAAGGCTCCGTGGCGCAGCAGCACCGTGTCCAGGAGGGAGGGCTGGCGCTCTTCGGGGATGGGTTTGGGGCTTTGGGTTTTAGGGTTTGGGGATTTGGGGCTTTGGGTTTGGGGCTTTGGGTTTTGGGTTTGGGGCTTTTAGGGTTTAGGGTTTGGGGCTTTGGGTTTAGGGTTTGGGGCTTTGGGTTTAGGGTTTGGGGCTTTTAGGGTTTAGGGATTTGGGTTTGGGGATTTGGGTTTTGGGTTTAGGGTTTCAGGGTTTAGAAGGGTTGAGGATTCAGAGTTTTGGGCTCAGGGTTTGGGGTTTTGGGTTTTGGGATTGGCGCTTAGTAACAAAGGGTAGGGTGGCGGGGGTTTTGGGCTTCGGGATGTAGGCTTTGGGATGTAGGCTTGGGGATGTAGGGTTTAGCTCTGTAGGCTTTAGGGATGTTGGCTTTAGGGTTGTTGTAGGGTTTGGGGTTTTGGATTCTTGGGTTTTGGGTTCTGCGGTTTGGGATTGGGGGTTTTCGGATTTTGGGTTGTCGGGTTTTGGATTGTGGATTTGGGGTTTAGGGTTCTAGGTTTTTAGGGTTGTAGGGTTCAGGGTTGTGGGTTTAAGCTGACGCTGAATAATGAATCATGTTCGGATTTCATGGGTTCAGAGGCTAAGAATTCAAAGTCCACCGCGTTTACGGATTTAGGGTGTAGGTTTCTATACTGAACTTAGAACCCTAGCAAAAAAAGGTTTGAGGCCGAAAACTGGCCCATGCGTTTTTGCTGGTTTTCTTCGTTCATGAAAACCACAGCAAGAGACTGCACTCAATGACAATAGCCCAAAGCCCAAAAAGCAAACAAACCAAGACCAGAAGAACAAAAAACAACAGTACCAGCAAACCCAAGAAAATCAAAACCAAAAACACCAAAACCAAAAACAACAAAACAAAAAAAACAAAAAAAACAATATTCAGAAAGTCTTGCTGTATAGTACTAGATAATAACATTCCAGAAGACTTTCAGAAAATTGTTTTTTTTGGTGTTTTTGTTTTTTTTGGTTTTGTTTTTGTTGTTTTTTTGTTTTTTTTTGGTTTTGTTTTTTTTTTGTTTTTTTGGTTTTGGTTTTTTTGGTGTTATGGTTATGGTTTTCTACCACAAACGATTGTCATTGTAAGCCGCATTGCACTGCAGGGTTTTGGCCTTGTCAAAGCGCAAAATAGCAAAACACATCTTGCCATGGCGAGTTTTGTGAACGAGGAAGGTGGCAAGGATGGAAATCTCACTTTCGACGAGGCGTGTGCACATGTGACCGGATTGAAACTTCAAGGACCTGAATCTCGACCGATCAAGAGCGACCGCGCGCTCGGCGACATAGGCATCGGCGACCTCCCCGTTCGGCAACTTGATAGCTCCAGCACCAAGGTTGAACAGTTCGCAGATTGCGTGATGTATTACCCTCTCGATGTCACCGACGTAATGTTCGAGAACATCTACTAGATTTGTTATTCAGGCAAGTATGCCCAGCTGCCTGAGCCTTTCTCGTTGAAGCAGGAGCCTACCGTGCCTTACACGCTTCAAATCATCATCTTGACCACCGCCCCACCCCCGGCAGGAGACGCTAACGGAGCATACGCTCACATCTTCAAGCACGTCTATCTCCATAAGAACAAAACCAATGCTAAGGATGCCATCGCGATGTGTCGTGGTAATCCACTTCGTTTTGATTGGGGAAATCAAACCAGACTCGCATTGTCAGGTCTAAACTACATGATGGAACGCTTAGGGGGGAAACAACTTCGTCATTGGTTGGTGAAGCCGAAGTTCGAGAAAAAGCTCACGGTCGATCAGCAATCTCGTGATGAAGGATATCGCTTTATTCGTGAGTTCGGTCCTAGGGCGAATAACAGAAACCAGTTCATGGAATGGACCGATGAACAGGTGCACATGCCAGGCGGCAAGATTGAGGGTTGGAGCGAGGGGAAGGTCAAGGAAGCGCTCGCCAACTATATGAAAGGACGTCAAAACGCAAAAACACTAGAGTTTTGGCCCTTCACACTCAAAAGCTTTGTGGGTTGGTTCTTGGACCTCGTGATCTCAAAGATGCTCCCCACGATGCGTCAACATGGTGTGACCTGGATTGGGCGCACTCGCACTGGAAAATCGCTGGGCTCCAAAACAGTTCTCTTTGTCCAGTCAAAGTATGAAATCGACATGGCGGATCGCAGTGACCTTGTACCCTGAATCGTCACCGCGAAGCATCTGGACTTTTTCAAGGCCGAACCCTTGACCAAGTTCAAACCGGGGGTGTTCGATGACGGGATGCTTCAGCGCATGGATGCTTCCTTCCTCAAGGCATTCTTGAACCCATCAGTTTCTTTGCTGTGTGTTTAGAAACCCTAAGAATGTTTACGTACGAATCAAAACGACTGTAGTGCATAGAGGAAGTTATCAACCAGCGCACAAAAAAGTTATTGTAAGTTTTGCGCGCGATCATCCTTATCATCACTTGTTCAAACCAGGAAGAAGACGCTACGGTGTGGGCCAGATATTCTTCAGCACAGTTTGAACAGAGAGCAGGCAGACACGCATGTAACAATCCGTATGCCAACGAGATTGACAACGAGGTTTTCAAGGAGATGTCCGTTTCAAAGATTTGGCAGATTTCTTACGAAAACTTCAAGAAGCTCATCAACCCTTCATTCGCAGGTGTTGAGGAAAAGGAGGACATGGATGCGATCATGGCCAGAACTCACTTGATCGTCATTACCGACAACGGCATCTATCATCGTTTAGCATCAACCTCGAAAGATCCAGTGCCTTTCATTCGATGGGAAGATGTATGCCCAAGGATCTTCTTGACCCCTCGCAACAAGCTATCTTCAAAGCGTACAAGATGGACCCGCACTCTAAGATCTACCCCCCCTCTTACCACGAGGATATGGCCTGGTCGCAAGAGTTCTTGCGGAAAGTGTTTAACGGCGAAACGGTTCCACGCACTATCTCCATCATCCGTTCAAGCGGTTTCGGTATGCATAGGACCAGGCTCGTTCCTAAAGCATGTTTTGCATGTGGATATGAAACGTGATAATTTCTTTGTTGGGTGAGTGTTTGTCAATGCATAGCTTTTTAGCTTTTTCAGGCAAGCTGTACCCGTTCATCCCCGAATTCTATTTGAAGAACAAGTTCGAGTGAAAGTCAAGCGGGAACAAGTCGCCCACGCATTTCGCAGTTTACGGGATTCACACCACGATGTGATTGACCTTGCTTCACCATCTCCGTCCCCGAAGAAGCCCAGTGCAGAAGCATCATCGTCGCCAATCGCAAAGCGTAGCAGAACCTCAGAGCCATCAATGCCCTCGAACATGGCAGCGGGTATTCCCAATCCTAACAATTTTGGCACTGTGGTACAACAGCAGACTTTTACGCTTCGGGATAATGCAACAGGTATTTTGGTTTCCTCATGCATACAAGTTGATGGTATAGAAACGAAATTATGTGAGGTTTTGTTTCGCTTATTGGGGCGTTGTTATATACAGTCAAAAGCTTCCTCATGTATATACGTTGATGGTATAGATACGAAACCATGCGAGGTTTTTGTTTCGCTTATTGGGGCGTTGCTACATATATTCAAAAGCTTCCTCATGCATACAAGTTATGGGATAGATATGAGAATCATGAGATGTTTTTGTTTCGCTTATTGGGGCGTTGTTACATACATTCAGATACGAAACCATGTGAGGTTTTTGTTTCGCTTATTGGGGCGTTGCTACATTTTTTCAAAAGCTTCCTCATGCATCCAAATTATGGGATAGGAATGAAATCGTGAGATGTTTTTGTTTCGCTTATTGGGGCGTTGTTACATACATCCAAAAGCACATGCCCAAAGCAAACAGGTATGAATGAGGAGAATGAGGATTCGGATGACAACGACATCATTCCCAAGGTTGGTGAGAAAGACGACCTCGAAAGGGACCTTGAACGTTTGATGGAACAGCATCACAGCGAGGACATGGATGTCGTAGAGGATTAGAACACGTTAAAGCCGATTCGCCGATGAAGCCTTACGAGATGCCGACAACATGCGGTAGAGTAGAATAGCGCGCTCTATCACAAAACACCGTTTTCACGATGAAGGCGTGTCAAAAATAAAGGCTTCATGTCTCATTGTTGCTTGCTCGCTACTGTGCAGCTATGCTTGTTTAATCGTGATAATGCTGCTGATGTTCAGTTTTGTCTCGAGCTAGTCAGAAAAGATAGCAAAGGATGGCGTCATATGCAGATTGGATTGCTTTCAGGCAAGCTGTCCTCACTGCTGATTTTGTGAACAGAACAGAGTTCCTCCATGTGGTGAAGCACAGTCGCGTCTATTATCGAGGAAACTTGCCAGACACGTCAGCTACACGAGCTTTACTGGCATGCCAGGCCCTTCGTCTTGTCCCTCACGGATATGAGTGTCCGAAATGTTCTACTTCTTTCAAGTTGAAATTCAAATCAGGCCACTACAAATGGTATGGCCCTCGTTATCAGCAAGGCTGTGAAGAATGTGATTCCAAAGATTACTCGGTAAGTACTATAGGATTCTTCCGAGGCACGAAAATCGATTCGTGGATGTCCAAGCTTGATTGCTTTCTCATGTGGGCCTACGAGTATAACCGTCAAACAATTCTTCGAGAGCTACATCCGCTACTTCATGCAAATGTTGATGGGTGGCTACGCATGTTTCCGGAGACATTGTGTGGTTGGTTCGACATCCAGGCGCATTCATCTTTTGATAGCCCTTTGTTCCAGAAGTTGCTTGAGACCTCATCTACGACAACACGTGCATCCATTCGCTCTAGCTCATCGAAGAAGAAGCCTGCTTCATCTATCACGTCCTTTAAACGACCTTCATCGAAACGTATGCCGAATAAGAAACCTTCGGCATCTTCAGCGGTGTGGAAAAAACCTAGTGTTGCCAAAAAGCACCTCAAGGAAAAGCATCGCGGGCGAGTGTTTATTGCTGATGAGACACACCTCAACAAAAGGAAACCAAGCATCATATCCAAGCATGGGCGACCTCAACGTGACCAAATCTGGCTTTGGGGGGCCGTCTTGGAAGGACATGTGGGAACCCATTTCCTTTTCCGAATCCTTGACCATCCGGATGATGCGTATGATGGACGTCCACGTGGGCATAAAGAGATGTTACGAAACATCAACTCTCTCGGCATCAAGAAGCACGACATCTTCGTCAGTGACAAGTGGAAAGCCACAGTGTCTGCGTTCAAAGCATTTCGTGAAGCCAGTGGTCTATCTGAGTCTGATTTGCCGCATGAGATTGTAAATCACGGTTTAGGTGAGCTTGTGAACGAGAATGGTTTCAGCACAAATGCGATAGAAGCCAAAAATGGAGCGTCATCAAGCGTTGGATTCGTAACAAGATGTCCGGCAAACTGCCTGCGCATTCTGATCGCCAAAAGTGGCGACTACTGATCGGGGAATACCAAGCCCGAAATCTTCTGAGGGCAATGAACCCCCAATATTTTGATCGGCGAAATATCGTCACAGCTGCTTTCACTGAAATCGTGAAGCTTTTTCGGGTTGAGTGAGCGACGCAGAACATGGGAACACATGTGTACGCCCCCAAAAAGTTCTCTCTGCTGCTTCTCTGTGCGCTTGAATATCACACATATATCGAAATAACAGGTTTCAATAAATAACTATAATGTTCTGTTGTGAGTGGTCAGGTGCAGGTGCGAAAGGTTTCTGTCATAAGAAGCCGATCTGTATCCGCTGCCTTGATGTTTTGAAAGCATTAAAACAGCAAAAACGCAGGGGACAGATTTCGGCTTTAAACCCAAAAATTATAATTTCAGCTGTGTCTTAGGGATTATAGTAACCACCATCAAAAATTATTCTAAGTACCCCTAAGGTTTTAGGGAGTTTGAGGTGGTTATTATGGTTGCGTGTCCTGGGCTTGGAGCGGTTCAGAGTTCAGGAGGTGGGCACAGGGTTCGGATAGTCTTAGGTTCACGGAACTTTAACAGTAACAGCAAATACGGGAGCCTTCATGAATAGAATAAGGTCTGGGGGTAGATCATACTGTAATTATGATAAGCAGCCCCCAAGACCCTATTCTAATCATTCAGGCCCCTGCATCAAGCGTACTTTTCACCCGAAGCATTGACCCTCTTACTGAGTCCCCTGAATCTCGCGGGGTTTTGGGTTTAGGAGTCCCTGGGATCTGAAAAAATTTACCCTGAGCCCATTTGGGAGCTTCCGAATAGGAGGGGTACCTTTGTTTTGGCTTCTTACAATGAGGATCATACTATCTGAGGTACTAGATTTGGCCCCTATAGCACCCTCCTTGAGCCGCCTGATAACAGGCGCTAGGACCCGGGAACCCCACGGCTACAGTGTTGGGGCCCAAGATCTATCTGTTAGATCCCTAGGGGTCCGAAGGACCCAATGATAGGGAAATAGGGTTTGGGATGGTAGTTATGTAGGTTACAATTTTTGGGGGAGTAGTGATTATTAGGTGCTTGCACCCTTTAGGGGATGGTATTGGACAAGGCTAAGGGAGTGAAAGCAACGTAGAGGACCCCCCCCAAACTCGAAGCCATCAAGCCCAAAACCTAAATACCAAACCTTGAACCCCCAAGCCCTCGAAACCCCAAACCATAATCCCTCAAGACAGAACCAGGAGACCTAATGTAGCACCAGTAGTCTTGTCCAGGCCTCGGCCGGCGCGTGCGTGGCGGCAGTGAATTCGCTGCCCATTGCTCGCAGGAGGGCCTCACATCTGGCTCTCCACTTGGAGCTTCATGGGCAAGGGTTCCGTTAAGGGTCCCGTTAAAGGGATCTTTGGGGTTTCTATAAGGGTATAGGGTTTAGGGTTCACGGGTAAAAATAAGTGGGGTTATCTTATAAGGGTTGTAAGTATAGCTAACTTACTTATAACCCCATGAACCTCCAAGCAGTGGCCTTGGGTTTGCTGGGGCCGGCCGGTCCTAAACCCTGAAACTTAGGACCCTAAACCCCTAGCCTACACCCTAAAGCCTAAACCCTAAACCCCAAGCCTTGAAACCTTAAACCCCAAGCCTTAAACCTGAAACCCTGAAACCCAAACAGGCTTCGAGCGTTGAGGGCTGAAAGCTCCCAAAAGGGGCTCGGGGCTCCGGGACCCGTTAGACTTAAGTATGGAGATTGGAACTTCATATGGGAGTTTCCGAAAATTAGGGGTACCTTGTTTTGGGGTCCTCATTTGCCTCAAAAGGTGGGATGAAGGTCGGCGGGATTAAGGCTCCCTTTTACGTGGACTCCTATTTTGGGATTACTGACGAACAGGGTTCAGAGTTTATAGGGCTTAGGAATACTCAGGCCCCAACACGGTGGGGCTTTCCTGGACGCCTTAGAAACCTACACTTCTCGGTACCAATTTCTTTACAGGAGGAGGGGTTTTTCAAAGCTCAAGTAGGGTTGAAGGACTTGGGCTTACACGGTTCTGCAACTTATTCCCAGTTGCCATAATAGGTGTTTCTAGCATTAACTAATATGGTTTCCTTACAATGGTAACTTAAACCAAATCCTCTAACAACAACTCAGGTTTAAGGCTTCAGGGACTGAGAGCTCAAAGCTTAAGGCCAGGGCCGTTTTTCTCGTATCCCCGTAGTAAGAACGGTGACTTATCCTGAAGGGTTTCGGGTGTTCGGTTTATCGGGCTTGTAGAGTTTAGGGGTTTACAGTTTAAGGCGTTGGGGTTTGGGTTTAGGGCCGAAGGTTTTGGGTTTCGGGTTCGAGCCGCTCCACTTGCAACCGCAATTATGTGCCACTTGCTAGGTCCCTTGATCCCCTAAATAAAGTCTAAGCCCTATACTATACTGAGCTTAGAACCCTAGCACAAATATTAATTTTAGCTGTTTCTTAAAAATTATAATGACCAAAAATTAAAAATATTTCTAAGTACCCCTAAGTATACTTGTCCTTGTCGAGATTCAAGTTCCCTTCACAGTATGCTGAAAGGACCCATGAGAGACCCTAAAGCCCTAAACCTTAAACCCCCAAGTCGTAGGACTGACGTTGCTGGGCATGAAGTCTGCGATTTAGGGCTTAGCGGTTTAGTACATAGGGTTTAGGGCTCAGGGTTTAGGGAGTTGTGAGGTTGTGAGTCTCTTGTTGTCTCGGATTTAAACTACGACAGGTGGGGGAGTAAACTGGACAGCGCCCTCGTCACCTTGCCCACTTCAAGAGGAATCCCTTAAAGAAGGTACCTTGACTGATGAGTCTTTCCTTTATTAGTGGGCCTCTGAAAATGCCTGAGGAACCCTCTGGAGCTTCAAAAACAAACTTAACAACAAACTCGCATTTAACCTACAATAAGTCTGAATCAACACTATCTGGCCGTGATGTAAACCACCTAAACAAGCTTGCAACAACTCGTATGTATAAACCTAAACTCGAAAATGGAAAAACTGTTGGCCTCTTCCGTCATCTTGTCATCGTCAATGGGAAGCTGCTTTAGGTCAGACAGCTTGCCTCGGCGACAGGTAGGGCCTTAATAGTTATTTCTATACGGGTTGTATATATAGCAGCTAACATTGGATTCGTACAGGGGCTTCATAAAGTTTTATCTTTGTTCGGGTCAGGCAGCTTGGCGTTCGAGGCCCAGAACAGTTGTAACTTGTGGCTTTCATATCAAGCGCTATGAAAGCCCATATAAGACGTTAGACATAATTTAGGGGCCTTAATATTTAGAATTGGGTTTTGAGCTCCGGTTTTGTATAACTATAACAAGAAACCCAAAGGACTAATATGGGAGGCATCTACATTTCCAACCATATACATCCCAAAAACGCACAGTCCGCCTCACTTGCTCTTCGACATGGTATGACTGCTGCGAGTCGTAGTCAAGCCTAACTTTTGCAAACTGACGAATATGGACCGTTTAAAGGGGTCGATAAAGATTTGGGTTACTACAAGGGTTTGGAATAAGGGCCACAATATTTTGAACAAGGCTTTGGGGGTATATAGTTTTCTAGCCTCGCGAGGATTCGAAAAGGATTGTGCACTAAGGCCCAGATACCACCACCATCGATCGAGCCGTGTTCGGAATTCTTACACGGCGTCGAGCTACTTTTGTAACCATAGCTAGACGGGGACCTTAACCTTGAATCCCTGTCCGAAGCCTCCAAAACCCTAAACCCCTGAATCTCAAACCCCACAGAACCTTTATAGAACCCTTATCAAGCATATGCAACCCTAAACCCTCACGTGTGCTTATCCCTAAAACCTAAATCCTTTAGAGCCTTTATAGACCCCTTGTAGAACCGCTATAGAAGCATTGTAGAGCACTTACAGAACTCTTATGCAACCCTAACACCCCGGGGGGTGCTTTGGATCTTCACTGAGAAGTGGGCTCAAGGCGCTTTCTCGCGCATTGTGGCGGTGGAAGATGATGGGGACGATGGTCTCACCCTTGTCGCCTCTCCGGTTTAGGGTTATGTAGGGTTTAGGGTTTAGGGTGTAGGGGTTTAGGGTTTAGGGTTGTGTAGGGTTTTAGGGTTTAGGGTTGTGTCGGGTTAAGGGTTTAAGTTTAGGGTTCATAGAACCCTGCGGTACGTACCCTTGTCGCCTCTCATGAGTCAGCACCAGAACGTTGGAACACGCAGTGGGGATTCAAGACACTTTGCTTTAAGGCTTCTACTATAGGGTTCTTATTGAGAGATCTGTACAGTTAGTTGGACATCAACCCTGAAACCACAAACCGAAACCCCACACCGTAAAGCTATTCGACTGGGGTTGTTTGGTGGAATTCACGACCTAATTGTCGTAATGTAGATGCTTTCAGCTTGGCCGTCTCCCGTGGTTAAACATGAAATCCGTACACAAGTTCCCTACCGGCCTCTGTCTGAGGGGTTCTTTCTTAAGCGGCCATAGAAGGTGTAGACATGTCAGGGTCAGGTATTGGGGAATTGACTGCATCTGTGGAAGGCCCTACGGCAGCTACGGCCCAGGGCCTATACTATAAGGGCCTTAATAATTAGAATAGGGTTTTGGGGCCCATTACACTATAATTAAAATAAGGAGCCCCCAAAATAGTATAGGCATTTATTAAGGCCCCTCTATTAGACCACTCCGAGAGCCGAAATCTGGCCTTCACTGCGCAGTCTCAGTGGAAGAACTGCCAGCTGTCGTGCACCAGAACCGAACCTCTGCATCCACCACGACAGCTGCACTGCACCTCTGATACCACAACCCTAAACCCTATACAAACCCGAAACCCTATACCCTAAACTGTGTTGGCTAAACCCGACACCTCCACTGCAAGTCGGCTCCACTTCGTCCCGGCGGCATGGTCCAAAGCGGCGGCACACCGGCGCTCTTCAGTCGAGTGACAATGGCGCAGTGCCGGGGCCAAGCTGAGGGTTTAGGGGTTTAGGGATTCAGGGGTTTTAAGGGGTTTAGGGGTTTAGGGTTTCATATTTAGGGGTTGGGGTTTAATATTCAGGGGTTCAGGGTTTAGGGTTGGGGTTCAGGGGCTTAGGGTTTCGGATCTAGACGACCTTGCAGAGCTCTATGGCAAGGCCCAGTGTTCTAGCAAGAGGGGTCTGGATGCCAAAAGCCGCCAGCGTTCCTGTAACCCCTGTAACCCAGAGGGTCCATATACACTACCATTATGGAATTAGGTCAAAATCTATGGATCCTCGGAGTAACCTTGATTAAGATGACGGCTGGACTCATACTTCCCTTACTTGGAGGCCCAGGGGACTTAGTAAGTAGGTTATAAGCATGGTTATAGTTGGGGTAACTCCACTTAGGGTACATCCCTATTTATAACCTAATTACTTAGTCCCTTGGGCCTCTAAGTATCGGGCCTCTAAAGTGAGTGCTATGCCTCCCTCCACAGGCCCTTTGCTCGTGGTCTATAACGGCGGTACTCAGTGTGTAGGGGCACGGTCCAGATTTCAATCTTGAAAACCGCGCCTAAAGAGAACTTGAGGTTTATAGGGCCTCGGAGGCTCGATATCTTGCAGTTTATACCTACATTTGCACTTATTTCGCTTCTTTCTGAATGCCCCGCGACTCCTGCCTTCTTCCGGTGGCGCATTGGACTTGAACCCAAGGAACATGACCTGCTTTGGGCTTTAAGAGGGCTTGGGGTGAGGGTTCACCTGAGAAACATCCTTCTTCTGCGTTGCATCACCTGGGCGCACAAAAGCCCCTAAACCTAAACCCTAAACCCTAACCCTAAACTTTAAACCCAGATTTCTAAACCCTTACCCGAAAATCTCAACCCTGAGGCCTGCTCTGAACTGATAACCCGATCCCCTCAACCCTGAGCCCTAAGTACGCTCTTAACCTCAGGCCGAACCTCCGAACCATGAGACTGCAAGCCCAAACCCTAAACCCTATTTAGGTGGTTGTCAAATTATGGTCCCTTTTTGGATCCTTATTATAATACGGCACCTATTACCTATTGTTTAGGGTACCCCAAAATGGTCCATAATTTTGACAACCACCCATTTAAACCTTTCCGGAATGCTCTACCGACGGAAACGCGGCCACGACTCACGAAGTTTGGGGGTTTGGATTTATGGCTTAGGGAAAAGTTCTCTGAATCAAAACCATTTGTTCGACATTGGCGGTAATTGCTTTAGAAACCTATATGTGCCAATGCGGCGTCTTACAGTACAGACTCCGAACGGTGACATGATCGTTACACACAAATAGTCTCAACGACTCCTGGGCGCCCTTCCGCACACGGAGGTTCTGATGGAAACCAGTAAACTAGGGGCCTTCATAATTAGAATGGGGGTTCGCGATATATTGTACTACAATTATAATAAGGGAAGCCCCCCCAAGAATCTCTAGTCACTAGTCCAATTATTAAGGCCCCTATACTACTTTAGGTTCAAGTATAAGCCCCTATAGTAACTCCGTCATTTGAAGAGTGCGGGGCCGGCAGCTTTCTTCCCGATTTCATCATGGGTGGTTGTCAAAACCATGGTCCCTTCTTGGGTCCCCAATATAGTACGGCACCTAACATTTAGGGCACCCAAAAAGGGACCATAATTTTGACAGTCACCCATACATTATGACGTAACACTATACTTTACTTTCCATGTACTACAACGTAATATGGTGAAATGTATACTGTAATATGGTGAAATGTATACTGTATAGTATAGTAGCTCTATCTGCTGCGTTGAGTCCAACATCTGACGGGTTTAGGGCACGCGGGTCTCAATGGCATTCACCAGTCTGACTTCCGTGGCACTCCATAGCTTCTGGAGCTGACCTTGAACATGCCACCGCCATGCATCTGTGGACGAACGCGCAGGCGGTCACCGTTTCCAAGGTATCCAGCTCAGCACAATGGTAGATGAAGATGCCACGGGTATGCTTAGGCACCACAACCACCTGAACCACGAAGTGCCGCCTTCGTGGTCGTTGAGCGCCGAAGGAAACGTCATCTCCCTGCTGAAACCCCCGTTCAAACACACGTTGCGACCCCGATTGCCAAAAGCTCAGACGACCCACATATCCCTAAAGCGTGCACCCTGAGCCCTGTGCCGCTCTGACCCTCTTTCTGCCCGAAACCCTGAACCTCTAGACCCAAAGACTCTCAACCACTAAACCGCTCTGACCCTCGTCCTGCTCAGAACCACCTCCCTCTTACCCTCATCAGCTCCGACAAGGCAAAGAGCAACAAGCCCAAGCCTACATAGACCCGAAACATAGCATAAAGCCTCTTATATGAACCCTTATCATCCCGACACCCGTAGCAAAGTCCTGAAAACTGAAAAGCCAACTCTTGCCCCCCCTCTACCCTCAAAGCCCTAGACGCTAAACAACCTAAACCCTAATCCATAATCTTTGAACCCTACATCCCTAAACCCTGTAAACCCCTAAACCCTAATCCCTGCAAACCCCTAAACCCTGAACCTGTAAACGCCTAAACCCTGTAACCCCCTAAACCCCGAAACTCTAAACTCTAAAGCCCTAAACCCCCAGACTTTCTAAACCCCTTAAACCCTTAAACCCCCCAAACGTTCTAATTAAACCCCTTAAACCCTAAACCCCTAAACTTTCTGAAACCCCTTAATCCCCTTAAACCCTAAAGCCCTAACCTTTCTAAACCCCTTAAAACCCCCCCAAAACAAGAACTCCTTCTCAGGGCACCAGGCCTGGGGAAGGAAGCCTCGCGTGAGGCGAATCAGGTCAGCCTTCAGCCACTCGCAGTCCTCTGGGCGCACGGTTAGGGCTTTAGGGTTTAATTAGGGGTTCAGAAAGTTTAGGGGTTTAGGGTTTAAGGGGTTTAATTAAAACGTTTAGAGTTTTTAACGCTAAAAAGCTACCTTAGGGCTCCTTTAAAGGGTTCCTTGAAGGGATCTATAAGGGTTCTGTAAAGGGCTTGGGCGAAATTACACGGCTGATGATGACCTGTTTAAGGGATCGATATAAGGGTGCCTTTAAGGGGTTCCTTAAAGGGATCTATGGGGTTTTAGGGTTTGTTGAGACCTTAGTTGCTGAGTTCATAAGCCCCCCCAAAGTGTACACTTTCAGTTTTGTAGCGGGTAGTATTGCCCCAAAAAGTGTAAAGTGTATCCACTCAGCTACTAAGAGACCGTTAAAGGGATCTATTCAGGGTGCCTTTAAGGGGTTCCAAAAAGGGATCTGTGGGGCTTTCGTGTTTAGGGTTTAGGTTGATGATGTAAATTCTGCATTACCTTCAGGACCCTGAGCTGTGGGAATCTGTCAGGGTATGATGGGTAGTGCGGGATTCATATCATCAGCAGTAGGAGCCTGAATGTTTAGGGTTTGGGGGGAAGCGCTTAGTGCCTATCCTTGGTTCAACTCTAAAGGTGGGGGGCTTCTGGTAATTTAGGAGCCTTAATAATTAGAATAAGGTCTGGGGGTAGTCACACTATAATTATGATAAGGTGCCCTCAAAACCCTATTCTAAGCATAAAAGCCTCTGCATTACATCTTTTTCCTAATTTTCGGTTCTAGCCGGGCCCTGTAACCTTTACCTTTGGTTCCCCAAGAGCCCCTTAATAATCAGGGAACCCTTTTTCAGCTTTCGTTTAGGTAAGGAGACTTCAAAGTATGAAAGCGCTTGAAGGCCACTCCTCGGGAAGCTTGACCCCGAAGAACACCAAACCTTGAAGCCCTGCAGCCCGGAGCAATCAGCCCTGAGCTGTTAAATCCAAGTTTGGTGAATGCTTCCAACGGACTACTCTGAGAGTTTGTTGAAGCGCCAAAGCCCCAATACCTCGGTTCTTGAACCCTTGGGAATAAAGTCCAGACAGGTACTGAATCCCAAACACTTCCAGCTCTGAACCCGAAGCCTCGGGCCCATCCGTCCAAAGACCCTAACTTCAATCCACAACCCACAAAACTTATGATTTCCCTGTGCCGGCTTAGGGCCTTCAGGGGTCCAGGGTTAGGATGCAGGGCTCTCTCCTGGATCTTTCCTGTGTTCTCGGTCGGGTAGCCTGCCACTGTAGGGTCCACGACATAGATGGCCTGCCACTCAGCTGCCACTCAGAGCCACTGTCGAGGGTACACTTGAAATTCGTCAATACTTTCATGCAGCCCGAAACTCTAAACCCTGGGCCCTAACCCAAATCAGGGCTGGCAATATCTGAGCCCCTGAACCCTATAGTATTACAGTCGTTTTCAATTGAACCCGAAGGGGTATCGGCAATAATTCCCCTAGTCCCTAAACCTCCAAACCCTAAAGCTCCAAACCCTATCACTTTCGAATATCCGCGACTGCCAAGCATTACAACATATAGGGGCTTACCAAACAAGAAACTGTCCTTCCCATTTCTTGGGTGGATGGATTTAAAGTTTATAAGGCATTGTTCTTGGAAGGTCGGGGGGATGGGTGTATTATAGTATGAATATACAGGGATCGGGCGGGGATATTGCTTTTGGTTGTTCACACATTTGCAGTAAGACTTGCGACTCATCTGTTGTTTTACAGGCTTAGGGTTATGGGGACTGGGGCTAGTGGTGGGAGGGTGGCACATATGCACTGTTTTTGTGCCGCGGTGTACAGTGTTGCAGATCAACAGCACTTGTAATCCGAATCCATGTTCTAACCTGTTAGAGTCTAGTCTACCTTCAGATTAATTAGAGCATTGGGTTTAATTAGGGCTGAAGCTTCGGGGTTGGGATATTCTTCGGGCCGACTTAGATCAAGAAATTGCAGGACAGGGTGAAGCCCGAATGAAGAGTTTAAGGAATTCGGAGTTCTACACTTTTCGGGGCTTGGAGCGAAGTCTCAAATTTCATTATAGCTAAAGGGTTTTTCAGAGGAGCCTCTTCAATTCGTGCAAGGCGCCGCGGATAAAGAGGTTTCAGTATCGAGGTCTGCTGAGTCTGCTTCCAGGGTTCGGAATGATTTGTCATACAACTCTTTCTTGTCCATTTCTAGACATACTATAGTTGATTTAAAGATTAAGAACTGGAGACTTTACATCGAGTTCTGCTGCAGAAACACGACATGAGGCAAACCCAAACTAGGGCGGCAGGGCTAGAGTATTGGAGCAGAAGGAGCACAACTAGGCTTCTCGGACATGTTGGTGATGGCTGCAACAGACACCTTCGTCAACCCCACGACGATCCCTTGAAGCCGACTATCTGGGTGGCTATCAAAATTCTGGTCCCTTTTTGGGGCCTTATTATAATACGGCACCTAATACATAAGATACACAAAAAGGGGCCCTAATTTTGACAACTACCCATCTAAATCTTATAGCAGCTATCCCAAACCCTGGCTAACTAGTAAAAGCTGAAGACTCCAATGCAGCAGCCCTAACCTTAGCACCCCTAAAAAGCTTAAAGGTTACCTCCTCTACTACTAGGTTTTGAAGGGTTCTAGTACCCCCAAGAGGTTAAAGGTTGCCTAGTACTTACTTGGAAGCTTCATGGGTAGTTATAAGTAGGCTTACAATTAGGGTAGCTATACTTATAACCCATGTGGGGGACTTATAACCCCACTTACAACTACCCCTGAACCTCCAAGCACAATACACCCTACATACACCATCTTCATCTTGAGGTGTCGGCATGCGAACAAAACGCCAAAGATGCTGTTAACACAAGGATGACATCAAGAAGTGACAACAGCCTTTAAGGTTCAGGAAACCTCGAAATCGACATGTCGTTGAATTCAAAGGGCCAGCCTTGTTCGTGACCACCAAGTTCAAGCAAGGAGTGTGGTGTTTGGGGTCGGACACCTTCGGTTGTTCAGAGTTGTCTTAACAGAGTGCTCATAAGGCTTATGCGGCGTATGGGTTCGTAGTTTATAGGGCTTATCGGATTGTAGGGTTCAGGGTCTTGACAACTAGAAGAGGGTTGTTACATGGTTCTTTGAAATTTGCGGCCTTAAGGTCAGTGCTTGAGGGGCTCAGGGTATACCCGAACCCTCATGAAACCGACATGGTTCGGGCTCCCTGCTGTGCTTTTATTTAAGATGTACGGCACAGAAACCCGGGCCGCGAGAATCAGAACAGGGCCCTTGCGTGTCTTCCAAACTTTTTTGGGAATTCTTTTAGGTCGATTGCAATTACCGACCTGAAGGGACCAAATGACCCTTAAAAGTAGGGGCCCTTTGCCCATATACTATAAATCCCTGGGCCTATACTCATATACTATGAATCCCTACATGGTGTATGACCCTTAAACCCTTTTGTGGTTCATGTCGTCCTGAGGGGAAGCAAGTACCGGAAGCCTAGACAGTAATTAACCTATCAACTTCTCAGTGGCCCAAAACCCAAAGAAACAAAAGTTGAAACTTTCAGAATCGACTACCTTATAAGAACCCCAAAAGTTGAAACTTTCAGAATCGACAAATTTATTTAAAAGCACAAAAGTTAAAAAGGTTGAGTTTGCAGCCGATAAGACTTCTAAACGCTAACCCCCCGAACCCCGAACTCTGGGCCTTCGGACGCCAACCCTTCTTAAGGACTTCTGCAACGAGATCACCGTAAGAGCGCCTAAAGAAAGGGCCTAAACAGTAGCCAATACTATTTTTTGGGGGCTTGCTTATTATAAGTGAATATAAGGGCTTAAACAGTTACCAAAACTATTTTTTGGGGGTTCCCTACTATAGGTATAGTGTCATGGGCCCCAAAACCTTATTCTAATTGTTAAGGCCCTTGAGCGATAAACCCCTCAGTTTGCCGGTGGATCTCCCCGGCCCTCACGTATTCGGGCACAGATGCCGACGTCTCCTGACAAAAAATGACACCAGAGGACGTGTTCGTCGGGACTAGTCCCGGCACTTTGCCAAAAATACCACGAGGAAAGTGCGACGCCGATGCGAATAGGCGTCGTCTCCGCGTTGTTCGATTGGAAGAATGTACGACAATTCTTCAACCTCAACTGCCGATGTCATAGTGACCTCCGTGCCAGGGCTAGGGGCAGACGAAAGCCCGTTGGAATCGACCATCGAGCACCACTCAGTCCAGAGCCCCAATAGGCGAGAAATTGATTGGCTTGACAATACGCTGAACACGCTCACTTGCACGAACACTGTTAGCATGAGAATTCTCACCATGCACTTCGTGAACCGACGTTCGAACACCACAGTGCTCCCGGAGAGTCGACGCGACGGACGTCATCGTTTCTGCCGTCTGACGGACTTTCGGGATTGTCGCGCTATGGCTAAGAATGGCCATCCCACCAAGCTCTGAGTCTCCGTCATCACGATCTCAAACAACTACCTGAAGGACCAAATGACCCTTAAAAGTAGGGGCCCTATACCCATATACTATGAATCCCTGTATGGTATATGAACCTTAAACCCTTTTAGGGTTCATGTCGTCCTTAAGGTAGGGATATTTAGGGTTGACGGCGGCCCTGGCCCGAAACTGGAATAAAGACTCCACGGATCCACAGTAACCTAGGAATCAACTTGCTCGTTGTTGGTATTGGGCAGGTTTTATACGGAACCTCAGACTTCCTCCTATGTGGTATTAGGGAGACCCCTGAAAAGGGACCCTTCTTGACCCTACTTCTGGCTCTCCCGCAAGGAACCTTATTGAGAGGGTTTATATCCCCAAGTAACCCCCTAATTACAGTAGTCCTAACTCATGAGACTGCCATAATCGAAACATGGCCCGATCTCGCCGCAGCCTAAATGAAACCTTCAACCCTAAATCCCTGAGCCCTGAAACTTAGAACCCCCTAAATCCTAAATCCTAAACCCTTATCAACCCCTAAACTGGCAAACTCGTAAACCCCTAAACCCCACTCTTTCTCTCTCTTCTTCAACAAACGGGCCGCAAAAAGTTCAATCTTTCTAAGATAGAGCTAATAAATGAGGCCAAAAAGCTTAAAGCGCGACGTGGAATAAGCTGCGTCCCCAGCGAAAGGCGTGAGACGAGCTTCGCGAATTTGCGAATTAAGCTCAGAAGTGTTGTGGGAAGCAGGCCGGCAACGGACGAGGCGTGATTTGGGGGATGCGATACGAATATTTCAGGACTCGGACTCCCGGCACTATGATGGATTCAAGAAGGTGTCGAACGTGGGACCCTGTTCCCCTGTTCACTATCTAAGTTAGGGGAACCCTAAACCCCTAAACCCCTGAACCCTAAACCCCCACTCTTTCTGGAGCCTCAAGGCGGATGCCATTCATCAGCACCTGCGAGTGCCGCGGGAACGGGGCGGACTTGTACCGGTGCCCTACCCTAAGGGTCCTAACAAATTGGGGGGTTTAGGGTTTAGGGGAACCTCAAAATTCAGAGATACCTGGACCCTTAGGGTAAGAAAGCAGAATCTTGCTTCGGTTGTCTCATACCAAACCAAATCAAAAAGACATAAACAAACAAATAAGGACATGCGTGTATCAGTACACATATCTGTACATATATATATATATATGTATATACAATATGTATGTATGTATGCATGCATTTTTGATGTATTTGTGTATATTCATGTCTTATGTCTCCAGCCACATAGTGCCTCAGACGTTCAGGCCCTGGGTGTTCATCTTAGGGTTTAGGGCCTTTGCGGGGCGTCTCTACGACATGGGCAGTTCTTTCAATCATGTATAGGGGTTTCCTTATAAAACGGATGTATAACAAGGGCTCCGTTAAAGGGGTCTATATAAGGGTTCTATAAAGGGGTTTAGGGATTTATCTAAATCAGTGTCCCTTTATCGTCCTTCTTATAAGGGTGCCCTACTGCTTTTTGGGACCTCAAAAAGGACCCTCACTTGGAAAACTGCCCAACTGGCTTCTGGGCTAGATCTAGACAGACGGAGTAGGATTTGGAATTGGGCGGTGTTGAAGTCCCAATGTTTGGTTGTCTTGCTTCCCAATGAAATGCTCTTAGCCGCGAAGATCTTCCCCAAACCTAATCCCTTAACTTCCTTAACTGTTTCGCTCAAAAGAAGCTAGGTTATAACAATCCCCAGAACTCTGTTCGAACAGTTTCGGGCCCTTATAGTAGTCCCTAAACCGCATATAGAACCCATTTAGGCAGCCCGAATCTAATTCTTGAGAGCCCTTCGAAGAACCCGTACAGTCGCGAAACCCATCCCTCGAGCCCCCAAAACACTCAACACTGACCGCCAAACGCCTTACCGGAAGCTTTGTAGCCTGAAACCTCGATCTAAATCCAAAATGCCCTAAGCATCCTAAACCCGAATATATCCAGGCCCCATTCCGTTAGGCCCCCTGTAGTATCTAGCCACAGTGTACCTGTATATAGCCCTAGAACATTTGGTTCTCTTCAAGCCCCCATGTGTAAATCTTGGGAAACCTTACAAAATCTTAAAGCCCCTTCTCGTCAGGCCCTCTGATGCCTCGACGTTGTAGGTACCCAGCGCTCTCTCAGGTTGGCCTATGACTGTGCAGATGTAGGTTTAAAGTTTGGGGTTTAGATTCTTTGGGCTTTCGGGTTTAGCTTACTTCGCCGATAAGCCACAGAAATACGAAGGTCCAACTTTCAGTTTCTTCTAACCATAACCACCCAAAAAGCTTAACGGTTGCGTTTTGGAGAACTAAGTGTTAGGTTGGTTGGTTTTAGGTGTTTTCTACGTTGAGGGTAAAGGCTTACAAAGGCATTTTTTGTCAGACCATTCGGTTTAGGGGCTTGCTTGGGGTCTAGCGCAGGCGCAGTGTCCTCCCTGAAACACTATCAAGTACCGGGGCTTTAGGGTCTATACGGCGTAAGGTTAAGCGTTACCGCTAGTGCTTGATGTAGGCTTTGATTGGGGTTTTAGGGTTTAACCCTTACCGAAAATTTTCAGCTCACCAACAGCGAAATACGGGAAAGTAGCTGATGGGCTAAGATACGACCTTCTCTGAGGTAGTCATCTTTGGATACGTTGAAGGGTCTGGGAACACTTTTCTTTCAACCCCCTGACTATAGATCTCAGCCAACGGCCATCTTCGAATTTCAGCTTCTGCGCGCCGTAGGCCTGCCACACGAGACACCCAGAAAGGGGCATATGTATATACATATACACATATATGTTATATGTATGCACATACATACACATGTGTATGTGTGAATATGTATATATATATATGGTACATACATGGGGTTGGAGTTTAGGCTTTAGGGCTAGCTACTGAGGTGCAAAGGATTACATACGGCTACGAAATATAACCATCACTGTCATGCACAAAAGAAAAAACACGCGTTGTATATTGCACCCCAAGGGTGTTTGGGGGCATCTTCGATTTTGCCGCATACGTATATGCGAACTGCTTGACCTATGGCATGGTACAGGATTCAGGCTTTGGGGCTTTAGGGTTTTCTGGGCAAATCAGGACTGGGAACGGCAGTATTGGATTGATAGACCGCCCTCACAGAGTCGAACTCAGTGCAACAACTTCGCTGGGCATACCAGAAGGGAGTACCATTCAGATATATAGGAGTTTCCGAAAATAGGGGACCCTAGTATAGTACCTTAAATAGTAGGATCCTTATTATAAGGGCCTTAAAAATCGGTACCCGAACTTTCGCAAACTCCCATATGGAGGCACCAGCAATATTGACAAGTAGCGAACTATGCTCTCAACACTGCCGCCCTCCTGCAAAAGACAGGCACGAATGCTTGGATTGTGGGGGGGGGGGGGGGGGGGCCTTATGCTACGGCTTGCAGCCATCTATATGGCCGTTTCTTAAACTATGCGACCTTAATATAGACCCGAGAGTTGTAGGATCCTTATACCTCATTATGAGGAACGCGGCGAATAAGGTACATTGCAAACACTTACAAAACTGCAACAACCAACAACAACAAACACTAAAGTTCAAAAGTAACAGCGACAGCTCCCACAACAGGGTTTGGGGCTTCCGGTATAGGCAAAAGGCCTTAGGGCTTAGGTGAGAGAATCTAGCAAGCTCGGTTTTGAAAACCGACCAATCCTGAACCCCTAAACCCTAAAACCCTGAACCCTAACTGTTGCGGATGTCAAGTCCCACAGCTTAGGTTGGCATTCTTGCAATGCGAACTCCACAAATCATGACATACCCTAGACCCCAAGGGTTCCAGTACCCCTAAACCCCCAAACCCAACCCCCCAAACCCCCGTATAGAAACTCTAAGGGTACTATAGATCCTATGCAGACCCTTATGAAACCCTTATAAACCCCCAAAAGAGTAACCCCTAACCCCCTTTAACAGGAACTCTTATCGCCCTAAACCCCTAAACTCTAAACCCCCAAATCCCAAACCCTAAACCCCTAAACCCCTAACCCTAAACCCTTTGTAGGAACTCTTCTCGCTCCTTTTTGCACCCCTCGGCTCAGCCTTCGCCTCCGCGATCTCCTGCTTCTTCAACTCGTCCGCACCTTGGGAGAGTCGGGTTATTAGGGGTTAGGGGTTAGAGTTCCTTTTTTAAGGGGTCCTTGAAGGGATCTTAGGGTTCCTTTAAAGGGGTCTATAAGGGCTACTACAAGGGATCTATAAGGGTACTACAATGGAGTCTTAAGTCTTGGGAGAGTCGGGTTATTCGGGGTTAGGGGTTAGGGTTCAGGGTTTAGGGGTTTAGGGGTTAGGGTTTAGAGTTTAGGGTTTGGGGTTTAGGGTGTAGGGGTTTAGGTTTTAGGGGTTTAGGGGTTTAGGGATCCTAGGGTTCCTTTAAAGGGGCCCATAAGGGCTACTACAAGGGGATCTATAAGGGTACGATAATGGAGTCTTAAGGATTTCAAGCTTTGGAACTTTAGATTCTTGGGGTTGTGGGGTTTCACTTTCAGGATTAAAACGGTAAATAATTTCAGCCTTGGCGGTTTCGAGGGGCTTTATACTATATGGTTATAACCTAAGGAACCGTCAGTACTCAGTCAGGCCTGTATATGATTCGTAAGATTAGATCACGGTTTAGAGTGTTAACGGCTTTCTGATGCTGTTTATCGGGCCTTTTCCTCTCCGCTCCGACGCTTCCATCAATACCCCTAGTAAGGACTTTTAGATGAGCGGATGAAAGGCATATAGGTTCTGGTTGAGTAAATTTATTTTTGTTTAGCGGGGCCTCGATAATCAGAATAGGGATTTGGAGGTCGATTAAAGTACAGTATAGGTTATTAATATTCGGACTGCAGGCGGGATACACCTGACTATGCTCTCCTGGAGCAGGCTCAACCCAAACCAAAAACCGCAACCCCACACTCTAAAGATCTACCAGCCGCAGATTCCCAAGAGCATCAAAGCTAAGCTTGCAACCGAATCAAGCCCTAATGCCAGAATAATTCCCCTCTCAACCAACTTTAAGGGTAACTGTCGGCATCATGGTCCCCTAATTTTGGGGAACGCTATATGAGTCTACACTCAATACGGCACCCTATAGTTTGGGAACCCAAAAGATACCTTAGTCTCGACAGCCACCTATATCTGACTAGTATCCGTGTGTGGTGGACGCGTCTGTGGACGGCCTCCTTCGTTCCATTGATGCCGGCCGCAGTCGACAAAAGGAGTCGGACACAAGGTCATAGGCGAGGAAGGTGAGACAGAAAGGACAGACAGGTGCTATTTCAATCACTGGAAATTGGCGATGATCATGGATCCAAAATGAGGTACCCCCCTAGTTTTCGGAAACTCCCAAATGGTCTACAAGGTCTGTCACAACCCCCCACAGAGCGGGAAGTCAAGTGAGAATGTCCCCGGCCGCGCTCTGCAGAGGAAAGCGCAAGCGCAAAAAGCACTCAATTGCATCTAAAAGGTGACTTCCTTTTTAGAATAGGGTTTTGAGGCCCCAAAATAGTATCGGCAATGATGAAGGCACCTATATCATAGAACCCTACTATAGATCCTTTATAGACCCCTTTAAGGAACCCGCAAAAAAGAACCCCACCCCCAAAATAGTATCGGTAATCATTAAGGCCCCATATATGTATGTGTATATATATATATATATATATATACTTTTTTTTGTTTTTTAGAAGCCTTGAAACCCCAAAGTTCCACAAATCTCGAATCTGCAAGACCGCTGGGCCAAAGATCTCTTGCCTTCGCCACCACGATTCATCACGCAAAGCCAGGCTTTGTTTAGGGTTCAGGGGTTTAGGGGTTCAGGGTTTAGCGGTTTAGGGTTTTCTGCCAGGGCTTTGGGAATATATTTCAGGTCACTGAAGACGAAATAGGCATGCCATGGCCAATTAATGCTTCAAGCCGTTGTATTCGCCTCACCCCACATTCAGGCTAAGTTTCCCAAATGTAGAGACGGATCCTCGGCACTTTGCAAGGTAGCTGCAGGCACCTGAATCCTAAATCGTAAACCCTAAACCTGAAGAACCTACATTTTTTTGGGTGCCGTATTCGGATTCCCATATTAGAAAAAGGTAGGCCCTTTAGGGTCTAGGTAAACCCTAAAACCCGGAACCCGAGGATGCGTATGAGGAACATTCCTGCAACGCTAACATCCCCGAAAGCCACATACAGCCTCGCAGCAATGCGCCAAGCCCCGCACTCATTTTGATGGCTTCGTGCAGCTCGTTCCTTGTTTGTTCCGAAAGAACTCTTGTGATTTTAAGCTTTAACCTTAACAACCCAATGAACCTCAATGTCCGGGCCCCATTCCCTCCTGCTAAGAATCCCGACGTTGACAATTCGAGATTAAAGAGCGGCTAGGTTACCCAGACATCGCGGGAGAGCTAGCCTTAGGGTCTGGGCCCGCATAAACAATCCCCAAACCCCAAATCCGTGCCAAACGACCCTAGATCCCACATCCCGAAACCTAGTCTCCTCCCTTGGCTGTGATCCTTGCTGGAAGGGACAGATGTGGCCAATCTGGAGACTAAAAGCCTGCGTGATGCTTGGGGGTAAGGGTTTAGGCCTTGGAATTGGGTATCCTAAATAATAGATGCCGTATTATAATAATGAGCCAAAAAGTGACCCTAATGTTGACAGCTACTCCCCGGTATCCCTTTGATACGGAAGGAGGACACACTTTTCGAAATACTCGCTCATAGTGTACGAGGGGGAATGCATGGAAAGGCCTACCGTTTCATTCGCGAAGATTATGTTTAAAACTCCTGATCCAATCATGTGTGCTCACATGAATAAGGTTCCCGATAGTTACTATGCCTTTAACCACAGGGTATTGCTTGTCCGTTTGTTCAGTTTGGTCCACGTTCAGAAGGAGACTCGCCCGGCAAACATGGGCAAAAGGGTGCTACTGGAAAACTGCTGAAATCATCAACCCTAAATCCTAAATCCGACATGCCCACTTCCTAAACCTTAAACCCTAACACCTGCACCCTGAGCCTTTAAACCCGCACACCTTAAACTCTAAAGACAACAGTCTGCTCTACTGTAAAATCCGTACTAACACAAAGTTGTAAGACCATGTAGAACCCGAACGAAATCACAAACAACGCGTGAAGAAATCCTATACAACACATCCCTATCAGTCTTGCAACACTCTGTTGCATTCCGCAACAAACAAAAACAGTGCGCCTTAGCCCTAAACCCTACACTCTACGCCCTAAACCTGTATGGAACCCTATTCGAACCCTTTTCGAAACTCTAACCATACGACCCAACATGTACTTCAAGCGCTAAAGGCCTGAGTAGCCCTCAGCCCTCCGCCAAGAGTCCGAAAGCTTCAACCTTAAACCCGAAACCCAGCAGACCCTCCGTTAAAACCCTTGAAGAACCTTGCAAGCAGCCTTATATATATGTATGTGTATATTGCCGGGTCTTCCAACAAGTAGGCCTCGGCAGCACCCCTGATCTCGGTTGAGGTCGCTTTGCCCGTTTTGTTGATACCTTTCCTGAAGACGTCGTAGTCGATGCTCAGGAAGGGAGCAACCTCGCCATCGTTCCTCGCCGGTGGGCTCAAGGTTGCCCCTCCAGTGCCTAAGCCTTGATACTTCACCAGCATCGGCCAGTCGCTGAGCATGTACTGCTCGAATTGCTGGGACCACGACTTGGACAGGTACTTACGACTGATGAAGTAGCCCCTCGATATTCGCTTCGATTTCTCGGTTTTCTTGGGGGCCACACCGGTTGGAACGAAGCAATAGGTTTCTTCGTCCTCGTCTCAGTGCAGGGTCCGGTTCACGACCTGACGGAAGCAACTACGAAGTGATCAAGAATTAGCGGGAAAAACCTTCAAATAAGGTCAAAAACTAGAGTGTAATGACCTTATAACAGGACGAGGTGGAAAACCCCCTAGTCAGAGCAAGCGGCCAGCTTGTGGGCGATGCCCAGGCACTCGGTTGTCTGCATGCAGAACAACCAAGCGAGGCTGAAGGCCTTGTACTTTGCGAGGCGCTGGGCCATGTAGTCGAGCTCATTCTGAGGAGCAATATTTACAAGGCCCCCAATCTTCTTGGCCAGGATCTTGACTTGCCAGGCTTGTGGGTAGACATTAGCTGCGCAGCTGCCCACCTCTTTGCCAAGCGGTGGGAGGCTCTCTCCCTCAATGGCTCGCTTTTCTGCGGCCGTCTTGCCAAGGTCCCGGATGTATGCTACGATCTTGCGGGTGGTGGTCTTGCGGTTCTTCGTGGAGCCTTCAAGGTATTTCGGCAGGAGAACTTGCGCTAGCACAACCATGCTTCTGCTTTGCATTTGGATTGCACCAGGCTTGAACTTGCTTCCCCGGCACGTCTCGTCCTGTCTGATCCGAATAAAGTGAAAACTGGCTGTGCACTTTCACCTAGACCTGGCACACTAAACCAAATAAGGTGATCAACCCTTGATAACGAACCTTATCTCAATTATGTACCCGCTACTCTTCCAGGTGCTGGTAAAACCTGTCCAGGAGCTTCTTGTCCTTGAGCCGGTTGGCGGGGTTCGAGAAGTCCTCCACCAGGCCCTGCTTCTTCATGAAGCCTGCGAAGCTGCGGAACTGATACCAGTGCATCTTGGCCGTGGACTCTCCACAGACTCGGCACATTCTCAACACGCAGCCGCTCTACCCCGAGGAGATTGACCACGTCCTGCAGAAGTTGCAGGGTGAGATTCAAGAGGTCTTCACCGAGCTCCTGGATGATGCGTGGACCGCGGACACCTTTCGGCTTGTGTCAGACAACCTTAACGACCTCCGAGAACATCCATGGCCGCCGCCCTCGCCAAGTGACGCTGCTCAGCAGGCGGCGACCGACAGATGCTTCGCACTTCGCGGACTGCAACCTCGTGGACTTCGACTGGGACAATCTTCTCTCCTCAATCCCTCCTCACGAGACCCTGAGATGCCGCATGTACACCTACCTTGTGACTGGGAAGCCGAGTGGTACAAAGGTAGTTGCAGCATCGATGACTTGGCCGTGAGCACCAGACTCTGGTCCTTTGTGCCTACGGAACTCCAGCAAGTGTGGGCGGCAACCCTACAAGGGCACAGGCCGCAACTACACGCTGCAGCAAGCTTCTGGGCCAGCCCACTGAGCATCCCGTTCCGGACGATGCGGGCAACCCTTGCAAGCTAATTAGCCCGCGCCGATCACTGAACGCATCCAAAGTCCAAGTATGCATATATATATATATAGATACACATTATATATATATATATATATATATGGATATTGTATAATACACAGAACCCAAACTTTTTGGAACCCCAAACCCAGCCCTCTAGGCCCTGATACAACACCTCGCAGAAGCCTTGGAGGAACATGATAGAACCGTTTTAAATACCCTAAAGAATCCTTGGGGGGCATCATCCACCCCCTGACAGTACTCGAACAAGACCCCTTTAACGAACATGTTAGAGCCCTCGAAGGTACCCCAAAGAACACTGCGTATAGGGAACCTTACAGAAACCTCAAAGGTGCACTAAACCCCAAACCCAACTCTTGAGGCCCTGGCATCCAAACGACGCCATTGTTGACGGTCCCAGAGAGTAGAAGGGAGCAGAGAGTCTTCCAGGAGAGGCGGGTTTTCAGGGTTAATGGGGCTTAGAGAGAGCGTAGAATAAGCAGTTTGAAGGGTCAGAGTGTAAAGAGTTCAGAGCAATTCATAAATGCTTAGAGGGTTTAAAGGGAGGGTCTACAGCTTCTCCAATTTTGAGCATCATAAGGATTAAGTCTTCCAGGACAAGAGGGTTTTCTTGGTTCCCGAGTAGCCTCATTAACAATGAGGGGGCCCTTTTTCCAATATTCGGCTTTAACACAGGGGACGACAAAACAAACTGGGCAAAAGGGTACTGCCGGAGAACCTCAAGGGTTTTAAATCATTGGCAGTTTGCAATCGTTTGGGATACTGGGGTCCATTAAGGGGTTATATCAGGGTTCGATGACATGTTTCGGGGTATATGCAGGATTTTAAGTTGCTGTATAAGAGTCTTCCAGGATCTTTGCCATTGCTGTCGTTGGGCCGGCCTCGTGCGCATGTCCTTACTGGACTCAAGTTCTCACGGGTCCTTCATCAAGTTGTGAGCTTCGAGGATGACCTAAACTTCGTAAGCCCTACCTAGACCCCAATAACCTACCTTTTAAGGGCTGATATGAGGAAATCATGATAGGGAACCTGAAAAATGTAGGTTATTTGGGGCTCACGAGGCCCCAAAGCCCCCAACAACAAACACCCCATCGGTGCACAAGCCCAAACCCTAAACCCTACAAGACTCAAGACCAAAACCCAAACCCCCCGACAACAAACATCAAACCCTAAACCCTAAATCCCTAAACCCCTAAATCTCTAAACTCCTAACCTAAACCCTGAACCCCTAACCCCATAACCCAAAGCCTCACAAGGCCCCATCACCGCCTCGAAGGTGTCGCGTTTGCGCATGGGACACCGCTCCATAAGCTTCACGAGGATGGTCCTCCCCAGCAGGTTTTCGTTTTTTGAAGGTTTGCAGGTTTAGGGTTTTAGGGTTTTAAGGCTTTTAGAGTTTAGAGGTTGAGGGTTTTGTGCTCAAGGGTTTGGGTTTTTGGGGGGTTTGGGGCTTAAGGTTTAGGGTTTCGGGTTTAAGGTGCCCTTGTTCCTCTACAGCAGGGTTCCCTTTAAAGGGTTCCTCAGAGGGATCTATAACCCTAAACCCTGGGTTCTATAGTATAGGCGCCTTAATGGTCAGAGTAGGGTTTAGGGTTTCGGGTTCCTTTAAGGATTCCTTTAAGGGTTGCCGTACTGGTCAAGGGTTCCCTTAAGGGCTCCTGTAAGGATTCAGGGTGCCTTTACGGACTCCTTTACGGGTTTGGGGTTCCTTCAAAGGCTTCCTGTGCGGGTTTCGGATTCCTTTACCTGTGACCCCAAACCCTACAAAAAAGTGGGTTATGACCCCTTATTTGGAGGGTCGTATCCTTAAAACGGTAGGTTTTGGGATCCCCAGGTAAGGGTTACTTTAAGGATTTTCTGTGCTCACGATCAGAAGGCCCCTCTGCGCGTTGCTAGGCTTCGAATCGCCTGAGGATTCTGGGATTCGAAGCCTTCAGGGTTTAGGGGTTTTGGGGGTTTAAATAAAGTAAAAGCCAGAAAGTTGGAATATGATTATCCTAAACTCTTTATGGTAAGTTATAAGGTATCCTACCCTGAAACCATATTCCAACTTTCTGGAGTTCCCTTTAAGGGTTGCAGGATTTTGGGGTTGAGGGTTGGGTTCCCAGACGCGGGCTTCTTGTTGGGGGATTTACGGTTTGGTCTGGTGGGGATCTGGGGATTAGGGATAACAGGACTTAAGGTTTAGGGTTTAGGGTTTTGGGGTTTAGGATTTGGGTTTGAAAGGGTTTCGGGCTTTGGATTTAGGGTCGGTTTCGAAGGTATCAGACACACACACACACACACACAATTGTGATGTTTTAGGCTCTTTTGGGTTCTAGTGCGTGGGCTTTTGGGGTTCAGGGTTTAGGGCTTCTTTGCCGATAGTTTCTTTGTTTTCTTCTACACTTGACCTGAGTAAGAATTGTCATAAGGATCCGAAGATTAAGGTCTTTAAAGGAAAGGGTCATAAAATGGAACTCGAGAGTTCATAACTACAGCTACGTTTAGGGTCTCGGGTTTAATGGAGGTTCTGGTTTAGGGCTTCGGGCCCATAGTGCGACTGTCGTTTGATGTTCGATACTGTTGATGATATAAATCCAGCATGACCCATAATAAGGAATATACCATAATTCCCATAGTTCAGGGTCCTTAAGGTAATGCAGGATTTATATCATCAACCGTAGGACCTACCCAAACGGGAACCTTAGAAACCTAGGAATAAACAGGGCTCTTGTTGTGGCATTGGGTATTTTTACCGGCTTTGCAAATAAGCCACAAAAACAAAAGGCTAAACTGTCAGTAGTAGTCTGAACTATAAGAACCCAACAAGTTCAAAAGTTTGGTTTTGGAGAACTAATCTTATAAGGAACCGAAGACCACAAAAGGGAAAAAAGGCGCACCGAAACACCTACCAAGATGAGAACCCTGCTTCTCGCTCAACCCTACCTAAACTGCCTTTACCTGCTTTTGTCTAGGTTCTTAATGTAAACCTTAAACAAAACTTTATCCGGACCCTACACATTTGCAGGCTTTGGTACTGTTGGTGATATGAATCCTGCATGACCCAGAATAAGAAGATGCCATTATTCTCATAGTTTAGGGTCCTTAAGGTAATGCAGGATTTATATGATCAACCTAAACCCCAAGCCCCAAACCCTAAAACCCTACAGATCCCTTAAAGGAACCCCTTAAAGGTAGCCTTCTAGCTCCCTTTAAAGGAGCCCCTGTCGTCTAAGGGTAAACTTGAGCTCATCGCCATTGTCCTCGTATTCTCGACCATCTTCCTTGAACTCGGCGTTTCGTCTGCGTAGAGCGCCTGGGAATTGAAGGTTTAGGGTCGGGTTTAGGGGTTGTCTTGGCGCTTAGGGCTTGGGGTTCGGGTGTAGGGTCTATAGCGTTTAGGGGTTAAGGGGTTAGGGTTTTAACAGGTTTTTGGGGTCTGGGGCTTGGGCTTGATGGTCCAAAGCTTTAGGCTATAGGGTTTGTGGTTTAGGGCTTAGGGTCCAGAGGGTTTTTGAGGGTCTATAGGGTTTAGGCTGAAGGGCTTAAGTGTACAGGTTGAGGTCTAGGAGCCCCCACATGAAACCCAAAGGCCCCGAAGTGCGTAAACTCCAAAGCCTAATCCAAAACATTGCCGAAAGTTCAAAAAACACCAAACCAAAAACACCGAAATCACAACCCCACCCCCCAAACGGGAAACAGGACTCACACACAGCACACAACCCCAAGCCCTAATGCCTAGACCTTCCAACCTATGAGATATATCCCAAACCCACCACATACCCCCAAATTCTATTCTAAGCAGATTCGAAGCTTTGCAGTAAGTCTTCTAGAACCCCTACTTCGAGGAGCACCTAGAGCCCCAATGTGAACAGAGCTAAGCTCCTAAACCCCAAACCCTAAACGCCCTTTCAGGGTTTAGGGTTTAGGGTTTAGGGTTCAAGAAACCCTAAGTCCCAACCCTCCACCCTCACCTTCGACCCTCAACTGGGGTTTGAAGCAAACCAAGGAGAAAAGAAGCGTACAGACTTGCATAGGGGACCCTAATAGGACCCTAGTAGAATACCCTGGAAAGTAGGATCCTTATTCTTATAGGGACCACATTTCGTTTAAACGTGGCGACTTTTCGGAACCTGGGATTTGAAGTATCCCCGGAGAAAAACCGCATAATGGAGGGGCCTTAATAATTGGAATAGGGTTTGGGGTATGTCATACTATATATCTATAATAACCAATCCCCCAAGACCCTATTCTAACCATTAAGGCCCCTACATTAAAGTTGTGGTTCGTGGTGGTTCTTCTAAGGAACAGGGAAAGGATTAACGCATGGAACTCCAGAAACCGGTATCTTGAAGGAGCCCAACACCGGAGACCAATGGCAGACTCGCGGCCATTCGGACCAAGGACGGGATCAAGGAAGATGGAACCAACCTGGGTTCTTGTTAAGGGATTCAAGCTAGGTTACCAAAATCAAGAAACCATGCTAAGCACTATAGATCCGTACTATCGTAACTTAAGTGAAGTTCCTTAGATAACAAGAACCCAATGCTATTTACTATTGCAGGAACCAACCTCCGTCTGGATGGAGGGTTTCGGGTCGAGGATGGCTTGGAGGCTTAGGGCTCTAGCGCTTGCGCTGGCTTAGTTGCTGAGTTCATAGGCCCCCAAAAGTATACACTTTTGGTTTTGTAGTGGGTAATACTATCCCAAAAAGTGCAAAGTGTATCCACTCAGCTACTAAGCTGGGTTTCCCGGTGTACGATGAAGGGTTGCCCGGAGACGATCCAAGAACCAAGAGGACCCCGCCTTGCCCTACATGACAAGGAGCTTCTGAGTAACCCTGAGGGTCCAAGTCTTCCTTATTATAGGACTTTGGGGACTTTTCAAACACCAAAAACCAGAAGTAAGGACCACTTAGCTACTTGGACCTTTAGGGTAAGATTTAAGATATATTCCTTAATTCATAGGGGCCCAAACCTGGTCTCCTTCAGCCTCCCTCCTGCTTCGTTAGATGGTTCTGCTTCGGCTTGGGGATTGCTTCAACTGCTCTCACTCACAAACACTCTTTTGTCGCATCGCAGCATGAGTCGCACATGCTTCGGCCCTCTCCCCACACATGCTGCAGCTGCAAAGTTGTGTTGTTCTTATGCCCTAGTGTGTTCTGGCTGCTGCAGCACGTGATCTCAAGAGACTCTCTGTCTCTTGTTCGATGCAAGATGCTTGCTTGCATCAGAAGCCCAACACCAGCAGATATAGTAAGCTTGGCTCTGGGATCGATGTCGCGGGACCATTTGCGATCCGAGCTTGATTGCCTCGTCGATCTGCGTCGACTCGAGAGAGCTGTTGTAGCTGGCAGCACAGGATCCCCTGCAGATTGTGTAGAGGAACGCTTCCATGGATTGCGGGTTTATGTTTCATAGAAGCCTATGCCCCAAAAAAAAACTGGATTCTGAAATCATGGCGCGAAACTTGCCTTTGAAGACACCAGCACTCAATCTCGCCTGAAAATGGGGCAAGGTCTTGTCCTTCGTCACAGCATGAGCCATCGAGATGCCCTCGGGCATCGGATACTTGGTGCTGAGGTACTCCGGGATCGTAGATGCATTCACCAGAAGCCTTCGGCTCTCCGCCTCCCGGGCTCCGGCGCCCGCACTGTCCGCCGCTGGCTCACCTCCGCCCTCAGTTTGAGCGGCCTCTGCTGGCTCCTGCTCCTCCTGCTGCTCTTCCTCTGGGGGAGACGTGTGCAAATGAAACCGATGCTGCTAGAAGTGGAAGTGCTATGCTCAATTTACATAAGTTGCTTTAGAAACACTTGGAAGCAGCGTCACATGTAGTACATACTGGTACTATAGTCACTAGGTTAGAACCGTGCCTCGATGTCGATCTGCCTGAGAAACTCGTTCGCGGCAATCCAAGCCGGGTCGGCTTCCAGCTGCATGGCCTGCACCTGGCTGTGCATTCAGTGATTCGTTGAAAAGAACAGGCCCTTCCTTCATTCCTTCTTACATTAGCCCGGTCATTCCACCATCGAACCCTTATTTCATCAATTCCATCAGTGTTTCCTTCCTCCCTTCCTTCCTTGGTTCCTTGATTCCTTCCTTCCTTCCTTGCTTCCTTCCTTCTTTCCGTTCTTACGTCTTTCTCCCGTGATTCCTTCCATATTGATTCATTCATTCCTTCCGTCGTTTTTTTCACCTATGCAAACATGCTGGCATTCATTGATTCATTGCAGTTCAATCACTTCATTCCTCCATGGCAGTGAGCTATTCTCGTAGATTCGTTGAATTTCCAACAGAATATATTGAATTGTATATTTAAAAGTTGTTGCCATGACTGCTAACTTCCAATTGGCCTCATCGGCACCATCTTCGTCGTCCTCTGGCTCCACGTCGTCTGCATGAACAGCTGATGCTTTCTTGCGTCTCCTCTCATCCAGCTCCTCACACATCTTGAGCACTTTCTCCAGATAGTGGGTGGCAACGTGCTGCTCCACGATTCCGAGCTTTGCGATCTCTCTGATCTTGCTGGTCTTCGTGGCGTTCTTCCGCACTTGAGTGTTGTAAGCAGCGAGAATCTTCCCCAAACAGTCGCTCGTGAGCTTGAAGATGTCGCTGCTCTGCACCAGCACTGCCACCAAGGGGAGGGGCTTGCTGCTTCGCCGGAGCAGGCAGCTGCAGGGCAATCTCTGGGCCAATTGGAAGCCTCCGTCGCACCGGTGGACTGTGTAGTGGTGGCATTGAACCTGTATGGGGTCTCGAGAACATTATGTGAACCATCCCTCCTTGAAGTCATGATTCACTCCTCGCCTCAGAGAACTTCAGCAGCATCGTTTCCACCGTCTTCCTTGGATGAAATGCAAGGATGATGTGATGATTGGTTTGCAACCAAAGTTTCTGGAGATTCGCGGACTGTCCGCGAGAATCATGCCGAAGCATGCAGCCTTAATCATCCAAGTTTCGGGCCATCCCCAAAGGTGAGGGCCTTCACAGACTGCCCCCCTGAAAGGCAGTCTGCAATGAGCTCGGGCCGATCGTTGTCGCGACGAACCTGCCTTTCATCCACATCTGCCTCTGGCAAAGGTCCAAGGAAGCTGAAGTCAATCTCCTGGAGAGGCAGAACCTCGGGGATGACCAGTATCAAGGAATTGAAACAAAGAAACAAGAACGAGAAGAAGGAACACCAGGCACAGCTTGGTCCACAGTACAGTAAGTAAGGGGCTCTGCCGTTTCAATTGAAGCTGCCCACGAATTGTCTGTGATATATTGGTGCTAATGCTGCTTGCACAGCTGGTCTCGGGAATGTAGATGTTGTAGCCGAGGAGCGTAAGCCACGGCGGGTGTGGGGCCAAGACACAGGTAGAAGTTGTCGCGGACACTGATGAGTGTCCCGCGTTGGCATAGCAACGGAACCCAAAGGGAAGCAGCTGCAGTCTGAACATCCAAGCCTTGCCTCGGTTAACATTGTTGGTCAACAGAGAGGCAGCTCGAATCGCTGGCAGAGTCACTGATTACGTGGTGTTGTTGCAGCTCAGGGACGACTCAGCCAGCAAAAGGCCCTTCATGTTGTTCAGACTCTCTTTCGAATGCAAGTGGGCAGACTTGCCTGTCGCATCCTTGAGCAAATTGTCCAAGGCCAGGTCTTTGCCTAAGCCCCACGAAACCAGTACTGGGGGTCTGGGTTCCGTTTCTGATATCAGCAAGACAGGGGACGGGGGGCGAGGATTCTGTGAAAGAGCTGTCATGATTGATAGCTGCACTTCCTGGGCTGGGGTTGAAACTACTAATGATAACTACTTAATATATAAATATTGGAAATGTAACGTGGTCTATGGCCATTTAATCCGGGTTACTGAGCAGGAGAAAGGCTAATTAGTAGTATGCTGCTGCTTCCAAGGTTCTAGGCACGAAAGAGTCAGGGGTCCAAAGCTTGGCCTTCAAGCAGCGGACCTCTCGCCCAAGAAAGTCCTGGTCGTTCAGTGTTACCGCCGTCGGCTTCTGCTCGCCCTTGCAGAGCCGCTGCGACACGGAACGAACACCAACGGCGCTCAGGTTGGACATCGAAGCCTTCTCTGTTTTTGTGCCTCGTTTCACAGAGTCTTGCATCGCCGAGTACACGTCCTCGATGTTTGCACTCTGTGTGAGAAGCGGGAAGTAGGCTTGGACGAGGTCCAGGAAGTCCTCGGAAAGCTGAAAGGCGGCCATTCCCAAGGTGCTGAAAAGCTCGCGGTAGACTTGCCACAACGTGTGCGGGCACAGGTCTGCCAGCATCTTCTGCGTGCCTGGCTTTGACTCCAGACGGATAACCATCTCCCACTCTTGTCTGAGATTTTTGAGCAGTCGCGAATGTGCCGTTTTAAAAGCAACATCCGGAGTCTGGGCCAAGAAGGCTGCCATAGAGTTTGGGGAGCTGCCCAAAGCACACCGGTAGGTCTCCATCTCGCTGATGCAGGCCGCAGTTGCATGCAGGTGCTCCACGAAAATCTCCTGCTTGATGTCGTTACGACGGAACATCACCTGCAAAACCTGGGCGGCTGAGTTGCAAAATTGGTATCTGCATTACCGATTCTTCTCAAGTTGCACGAGACGACTGGAGTCGGAGACCTCGCGGACAGTCCGCGATATGCAGCAATGTGTTATGCTAGTGATTCATTTTAAGAACTGACATAGAACGTTTCCTCCTAGTGCAACGTAATCAGCCGCCCCCTTGCATCACTCTGACTGTGCGGCATAGCCGCCACTCTCTCTGTGCGGCGTAGCCGCCAGTCTCACTGTGCGGCGTTGCCGCCGCTCTCTCTCTCTCTCTCTCTCTCTCTCTCTCTCTCTCTCTCTCTCTCTCTCTCTCTCTCTCTCTCTCTCTCTCTCTGTGCGGCATAGCCGCCACTCTCACCGTGCTGCGTAGCCGCCACTCTCACTGTGCGGCGTAGCGGGAACTCAACTCGCACAGCGGTTTTGCCGCCACTTATCTCCAAGTGCGGCGGACCTGCCGCCAGCCCGGGTTTGGCAACGTCTTCACATCTGGTGACTTGGGGGACATCGCTGTGTCAGTCTGTGTCTCTTCTGGTCTCTCTTTTGCCCTTCCCGTGTTTGCTCGCATGTCTGTGTGGTTGCGTCTCTCTCTCTCTCTCTCTCTCTCTCTCTCTCTCTCTCTCTCTCTCTCTCTCTCTCTCTCTCTCTCTCTCTCTCTCTCTGTATTTCTTACTTTCTCGGTCTCTCTGCCTTTGGCTCTGCCTATGTCTGTGGCTTCCCGGCAACGGGTTCTCGGCAAATCTCGCCTGGAAGCTGAATTTATTTATATTAGACTAGACCCGACAATGAGACCATTTAATCTGCGGTATTTAATCTGTTGCTCATCATTGACTGTGGCAGATTAATCGCCGGGCTCGGGCACTTTCTTTGAAGACAAGACAGACCTGCCAGGAATCAGTCTAGAAA